CAAGTTAAGACGCCAACATCTTTCACATGTATCAGTTTGAGTCAATTCCTGTCATTCCACAGTTTGTTTGAACATGCACAGACTTCTCCTAATCACGCTTTATGTAACTATATAACAGTTTTCTGTCTCAGCTTTGCTCTGCTTGTTCCTCATGTTAATGCTGCCTGCGTATAAGTGCATGCTTGATCCAATGGGCTGTACTTATCAACAAGGTCCCATGACCCTCCCCACAGCTGATCCTGGGGAGCGGAGCATGCTGGGAGGAGGACAGCATTTCATCCTGCCGCTGTTGAGTCCATGTCTTGTGCTTTTGTTTGTGCTGATGTGCGATTTGGTGTTTTTAGGGTAACAGGCTCTCAGACATCCAATGGACTATATGGTAAGACAATGATACAACTTACAGTGGCACAGTGGTGAAAGGCTGGCAAAGGTACATTATGCAAAAAAGCAATCTAAACAGTCCCTGATTCCCTAAACTCTTTGCTTAATCAAGCAATTTGTATTTAAACATGTGCTATGTAACTTTTCAGGTGGTCGACTCTTTGCTTGCCTCAAGAGAAATGTGATCGCTTTCCCTAAATTGTTCCACAGTATGGCATTAAACATATCTATCCTCCATCCTTACAGGTGTTTTATTTGCCCAAAATACTTTGAAAACGGCATTCTTACAGTGAATAGCTTCAGATCTGACAGCATCTGCTTGTTTCCATGGAGATAGACAGGTTTAATGCCTTGCCATGGAAGATTCCAGACAAAGCAGATTCTCCACTGCAGTTCCCTCCACCGTTAAGTTACTTGGTTCACCTTTAAATGATGTGTACTTTTATGGATTGCGACATTAGTATTGCCAAATTGGTATGCTGCCAGTAAAGCAATCAAATCAAAGCTTAAAGATGATGAAACCATTTTCTACTCCGTGTTTTAAACCATGTATATTCAACACATTACAGTTTGAATTACATTTACTCATCATGATAACAAATTTTGAAGCAGGATATTGCAACAGAGAAATATTGCGATAAACGATAAGATTGAAATTCCTTTATGCCTGTGGCAGAAAGCAAGATAAACCAAGGTAAACCAATTTTTAAAGAGACAGTATGATTAAAAAACCTGAATTGCAACAAATAAATGGCAGAATAAACCGATAATAGAAGAATATAAGTTATTTGTTGTACACTCTACTACTGTTTCTAAGATTGATTTATAGACACGAAGCTCCATGTAACACTCCCAAGCCCAAATAAGCATATGCAATGTATTCCCCCAAAACTCAATGTGTAAACCGTTGAGAGGGAAACAAAAGAGAATATAGCAACAATTTTGGCTTAAAACTTCCAATATCAGCAAGACTCGAATTCTGCAAGACTGCATTTTCACAAGAAACAAAGAAGTCCAACTTTCTATTGCCTCAAACTCTTGCAGACTCATAATAACCACCGGCCCAAAAGTGTTTTCAGAATTACTCAGCCACCTTGAGCCACCTGTGTTACGTGTTCCTTTAGTTTGAAGTAGACTAGTGCTGGTGGAGGGGGCCGTGTACTCACATCACCTCTTCCTATCCTCTTCCATTCACCGCTTGTGGGTTTTACCTCAAATGACACCCCGACTCTGCAGCCATTTGGATCCTGTACATCCACCAGGCGAGACGGTGGCCAGACCGGGTACTGCAGGCGCGCTTATGTTTGGGGTGTCATTTAAGGACTTGTTGTTATACACTTCTTTGTCGCACTGTACAACTTTATTTAGCACTGCTTTTAGCTTCATGTTAGCTTCCTAGGGCAATCAATGGGATTTCTGCGACGGTAAAATCATTATAATTATAAACTATCACTGGTTTGGTAATGAACGCTTCTTTAGAGAGACCTAGCAGCACTGGGAATATTTGTTTTTCTAATATTGAAATATATATTTACAATTCCTCAGGGGAATCTCCTGCCTTTTCCTTTGGTTTCTCAGGTTACTCAACATGCATAAAGCAGGAGTCTGAAAACGGCAACATGGTATGCCCTCAATGCCCCCACATAATGTTTTTTTCTTTCTTTCCTCTCATCCCTCTCTCCATCGTCTCCTTCTCAGACTGTATTAAGTGCAGAGTCTCGCAGCTAGCATGCACATATACACACAGTGCGCTAAATGAACATGGCTGCAAAGGAGAGGGAGGGGGGTGAACAGGAAGGAGCAAGAGTGGTAGAGAGGGGAGAGAAAGAGAGAGAGAGAGAGAGAGAGAGAGAGAGAGAGAGAGCATGGAAGGCAGCATCACCCACCCAGACAGGGAGGAAGAGGAGGGGGAGGACAGACAGTTTGCTCTTCCTTTCAACAAACAAGAGGTGGAGAGAGAGAGAGAGAGAGAGAGGGAGAGACATGAGGGCAGGAGGAGCACAATGAAGGAGTGCCATTGTCCGCTTTGGGAGCTGTGCCATTCCACCATCTGCTGAGGAAGAGAGAGGAGAGGCAGAGGAGCGAGCGACCGGAGCATTGATGGAGAGAAGAAGCCGGGTCTGAATAAGTGAATTAACCGAGCGGAAGAAGCGATCAGTGGAGGAGCGCGTTTCCCTGGGAGTGGAGGGACCAGAGCAGAACCACGAGGAGGAGAGAGGGGAAGCAGAGGACGAGTGACCGGACTGCCCTGCCTCTTTAAACATTCATGTGCTTTTCATGTCACTTCTGAACCAGCTGTATCATCACCATGGAGAATCAACCGCCTGCTCTCCAAACCAAAATAAACTCTTAACTGAGCTGCCATTCACTAAACAGGCAAAATCAGTGTTGAATTTTGATTTTTATACTGTATAGGCAAAAAGTTTTCGTATTTGTAAAATAGACTGTAAATTTTTGGTCAATTCCTTTATTTCTTTGTTCTCTTAACTATTGATGTGTTGCATTGTTGTTTTTGAGTGCAATTAATTCAGGTTGTTTTATGCAAGGTTTTCACAACATTCGCGTTGTCCTGTAAAGCTGGTTTGCCATCGTGTGTCTGTTATCAAACATGCAGATGTTGAAGTGGGTGCATGCGGCCAGTGTTGGGATGTCTACATTGATTGGGCTTTCTGTGCTGTGATGCCGGTCAAACTTTGATCACTTCCTGCTTCTTATTGATTGTTGTTGGAGCCAAGAGTTTTTCCTCTCATTGAGGTTTAATGTTGAGTCTTTGATGCAGCATCTACTCCCTGCCACTTTAACTGAACCCTTAACATTATATGTTTGAATGAAAACTCTTGCTGTTGGACTTCTGTATATAAATTCAGCAGACAGATAGTCTGTTCTTTATGTCTGTTGTCATAGTAACGTGCTGCAACAACAGGCAAAATATCTGTTTTTGTCTTTTTCAAAAGGTGCTTTTTATGAACTAACTGTATATATTATTATTGTCTGGCTTGTTTCTACTCTTTTCAGCCAACAGTCTTTGTTCTTACGGAGCGCAGCAGTCTCCGAGATTCAGGGTTGTTTCAGGTCACCTGCCCCCCTCCCGTTCCCAAAAAGAACATCTTCATCAGTCAAACTGATGCTGAGATCAGTACGACGGGTCTCATTAGATTGTATGACTGAGCTCACTTGTACATATTAGTGCAGATGCACTGATCACTATTCACTAATCACTAAACATTAGCTTCATTAGTTCCATGAGCATCATTAGCGGTGTCTTTATCTTTGTGGAGGCAAATTGACCCCACAAAGGTCACTGCATCTGCTACACCGGACCTACACTGTGTTTCAGGCATTAACACCAGGGCTCTTACTCCTTTTTCAAACACCCTGGATTTATCAATGCACGTTTAATACTTTTGCCTTTTTAGAAATAAACTTACAGCATTTATAAATTTTTAAGGTTTGTGTACAGTCTCCTGTTTAATGCATGCCCTTATCCAAATCAGTGTCCTTTGTGACTGTTTCAGCCATACTTGTGTACAGTTTGGGGGTCTTCAGTCTTCTGCTGTGCTCGTGACTGGAGGCTTTATGGTGCTTTCCGGCCAACAGCAGATGGACCACTAGCTTGAACGCTAGACTGGGTGTCTGTGGTGCTAGACTGGTGTAGGCGACTGTTCCTTCATGATACATTCTGCTCCCACTACAGGCTGTGTTCTGCTCAGTGTTTGGTGTTTCTCCAACTCTGGAGCCAAATGAGTCCACGACTTTAAGGCGTGTGCTCTGTCAGGTGAAAGGTCAGAGTGTGTAAATATGGCTCTGAGCTGCAGGTGTACGCTGTACTGAGTCAGACTGCTGGGACTTCACAGGAGACTGTTATTGTAAACAGACTGTTGTTTGCCTTATAGGCTGGACTATGCAGAAAGTTTGTTTTTGTCTTGTAGTTTGTAGTTGATCAAAGAGCTAAAGACTGATCAGTTTGGCCTTAGATACAGAGGGAAGCCTTTGTGAACAGAAAACCTTTTCTTTGAGCATATGATTTGAGGCTGATGTTTTTCTCTCAGGTAAATGACTATAGAGAACTTGGTGTAAACAAGGCAGGATATCACGGTGCACGTAACACATGGTTGCAGCAGAGCTCTTTATAACTCCAGTGTATGTGCTGCTGATAAAGCATTCAGTTTGAAGTAGTTTTACTGCTGTTCAGGGAACATGAGTTATTCGTTCAAACTGGACTAATCAGGTCTCATAACCATCATAACAAACCCAGTCGACAGCCAATGACCTACATTCTGTAGAGTTACATCACCACGTGCTGCTGCAGTGTCCACACACATGTAACGCTTCGAATGGTGCTCTGACCAACATTGCCACGTTTAGAGATCCCACTTAAACCACAGCAGCCTTCAGCCATATCAAGAACTTGAGTCAGGAAGAGGCCCTGCGCTGTTGGGAAAATCTTACCCACTTTTCACTTTCTTCTTTTGAGTGTATAGGGAAGATAACCATGTGGAGATCCTAGACACCCAGAATCTAACCATAACACTTTTCTAACACTTATTTTACTGGAGAGAGGGACTGTTAAACAGGACAGCCTGGAGAACGGGCGAGCAGACGAGGGAGGGGGAGAGGGGGAGAGAGAGATTATCTGGAAGAGGAGAGAGGAAGTAGTGGCCAGAGAGAAGGCTGAGGAGCTGGAGCGGCAGAAGCTCGCTGACTACATTGTGTGGAGAAAAAGAGAGGACTTCCAAGAGAAGCGCACAGACAGAGAAAAAGGAATCAAAAGTGTAGCGAATGGCAAAGAGCCAGAAGTAATCTGGAAGAGGAGGGATGAGGAGGAGTCCAGGGAGCAGGCACAGGCGATTCAGAGAGGCCATGAGATAGTGTGGAGGAAGAGAGAGAGGGAGTGAAGAGAGGGAGAGCTTTGGAACATGGTGACTACCTGTCACTGCAAAGTAGTCATACACCATGATGTCTCTTTCTAATCTTTAGCCATTCTGGGCATCATTGCACTCTGCAAGTTCAAAATCAACCAATCGGTGCTGTGCATTGTTTGTTGCTAGGTGTTGCCAGTGTGCGGCGCTCTGTGAGAGCTCCTCGTTGGCTGATAATAGGATTTTTATGAGCCTGTGACGAGCAGGAAGGAGCTGCCAAGAGGAGTCTTCACAAATGCATCTGCGCACATGCCAACACACACACGTAATCCTAGTGCATGAAGACTTCAGCCCTCAGTGTGAGCGCTGAGAGACAATCACTTGTGTCGATTCTCTATGGTGCTGGTAACAGCTGGAAAAGTCTCTCTTTGAGAGCATTTGAAATCAAATATTTCACAGATATAGTTTTACCAACAGAACTCAGAGATGAGCATTCTATGGAGCTAAGATCGTGCCATCAACCTTCAAGATCAGGACCAGCCTCGCTGACTGAACTGTTGACAACATGTTCAGAGCTGTTGCACTAACATCTCTGCTTCTGTATTGTACCATTAACTGGGGCAGCCTACTTTCACCTTCAGTAACTGTTCTTCTGTTGTGGACACAAAATTCTGTGGTCGCCCCTTTGGCTGCTGGTTAATGAGCAGAGGAGTCGTAACCAGACAGATGGATGAGTCTCTTGCTCTCAGCGCCAAAAACAGATGGCAAGGCATCTTTCTCGAGAAAAACTTTTAAAACAGAAGCAAAACTTCTTAAATGAGTAGCTGCACAGTGGATTCTCATGAATGCAAAAACTGACACTGCACATTCATAATGGAGCTTGTCCCAAAAACCAAGTACACCCACTTTCGCAGTGAATCTCTGAGCTCCACCGATGAAACCAACTCTAACCCATCGCCGTTTCCCGCCTGCAGCCCGACCACACCTCTCACCCCCTCTCCAGGCCTGCCCTCGTCCCTGTCCTCCTCCTCTCTCACGCCCATGCTCCCCCCGGCCTCCCCACGCCAAGCCGAGAACAGTCCCACCACATTGTGCTCCTTCTTCCCCAGGATGGCCTCTCTGCGCCTGGGAGTCTCTGCCACTCTACTCCCAGGTCTCAGGGCCATGGGCAGGCCGCAGAACCTCCCTCCAGCACCTGTTGAGTCTGTGGGAGAGGAGAGGAGCAGCCCGGGCTCCTCCTCCTCCCCTCCTCCTCACCTCTCTGTCCCAGTACTAACCGCCCCCTCTCCCCCTCCTCGCCCCCCTCTGCAGGACATGAACCGGCTGGGAGTGGCGTCCAGGCGGGCCCGCGTGGAAGGGGGGCAGCTGGGGGGAGATGAGTGGACGCGCCATGGCTCCTTTGTCAACAAGCCCACCCGCGGCTGGCTCCACTCCGACAATGTGGTCAGCACCTCCGGCGTCTCCTACAGTGTACGGGTAAGGAGCTGGCACTCACTGTCCACTCAAAATATAGAGCAACGGTCTTAAAACATCCCACATCCTCTGATTCTAAAAATACTATAGAGGAGGTAGAGGAAATATTTAATACCAGGCTTCTTCTTTAAGCTTTGGGGAATTAGTTCAGTGGTTTTAAATGAAGAGTGTAGAAGTAGTATGATTCATGTTTATGTTAATTGGTATCAGCTCTTCACGAGGTCATTTTACACCACAACCATGACTAATATTCCTACTCTAATGTTGGCTGGGTTGTCCCCAGATACTAATCAATACTAAAACTAATATTGAAACTATATATATACTCAGTGCTGCAGAAACTACTACTATTCTGTGTTGAAAATAAAATTTGGGTGTGGGGTGGTATCAAGCGTTATTCTTAGTATCTAAATCGTGTTTGGCATTTATTAGTGACATGCAAATTATCATTATTATATTAATTTATATGCACATATTTTAATACTAATACAGACAAAATACAAACATTTTTAATTTAACTTGATTAAAATATTGATTCTTTTTTCTTCTCTAATCTAGAAATTACCTAAATGACGCATGAGAAAAAGTGTCTCATTTTTATCTGCCCCTTGAGTCCTTTTGAGAGACAGTGTTTTCCATGTAGGAAATGTTGTTTTCTAACGTGTCATCTTCCTGTTTCCTGGTGCAGTACATGGGCTGTGTGGAGGTGCTTCAGTCCATGCGGGCCTTAGACTTCAACACCAGAACGCAGGTCACCAGGTGAAGACTATTCTCTCTTTAAGCTCATGTGGGTGGGAGGTGTCAAAAGTGTGGTTTGAATTAGAAAAACACAAGCCACATGCGCATGCCAGTGTACAGCAAATCTGACCAGTTGTGCCACTTCCTGTATCTACCACGCATTTCTTTTCTTGTGAAAGGTTTTGACAGTACATCTGTCTGACACTTCCCAGGGGTTGTTTTCACATTAGGGTTTTTCAAAAAAATTAAAAGGGAGAAAAAGAATATGAGAAAAAAATATATATATATGAGAAAAGAAATATGAGAATATAGTAAAAGAACTTCATTCTCACTTAAACATGATATTGATACTGAAAATATCCCATAAATAAAACATTATTTAATCTTGATCCCCATCAGAACTAGTAGACCACATGATAAAATCAAAGAAATTACAATGTCTTGAAAATTGCATGTTATTGTCAAAAAAAGGAACATATTGAGTATCAAGCCTTTTCTTTAATAATGAAATTGAGTTTGAAATTTTTGTATCATGATAACATTAGTTCACATCGTATGTGTCAAAATATAAAATGGGGCAAATCAATATTATTCTATGTGGTGAGGAACTGTTTATGAGAACTCTGTAAGACCACAAACTTTCCATACTTTCACTGAAAGTTCATTCAGCTGTCAGCAGCTGTGCCTGTATGATTATATAATGCTGCTACTATTTTTTGACAAAGTTGTGAGTAAATAATTGTATCTGTTTGTGTACAGAGAAGACTTTAAATATATGTAAGTTTTAATGGGTAAGGGTCCAGTAATTACAGATAGAATTAACTCCTCCATTTCTATTTTCAACTATTGGCCGTAAAATTATTGGCTTGAAAATGTGATGTCTCGTGAACAGTCTATTTGTGTGTTTGTGTACATGTCCCTTAGCTGTTAATTCCGAACATTTGGAATCCTGGTGGTTTCCTTCTGGTTTCCGTAGTGATGGGAGTCATTATGGTCGAGGCAATTGCCAAGCACAATAAACTTAGTCATTTGCCGCCAGATCTCATTTACCCCACATAATTATAATCCTTAGACAGAGTGTGAGACTTAGACTTTTAGACTTTATTGATCCGCAGTAGCTCGCAAGAACAATATAAAGACGATTTAAAGGTGCACTACACAACTTTTCTAGTGGGCTGTCTGCCATCTGCTTATCTCCACAGAGGTAATATTTCTTTGCCTGGAATGTCACACGGTATGGCATTAACCCCTTATAACACCGACCGTCACAAATATGCGACAAACCGTTTGGAACAAGATATAAGTCGAGGTAGTGGCTGCATTCATTGACGATTAGAGCATATGCATTACCTTCCTAGGAACCTTTGGCAAGCACTTTTTTCTCGTTTCTAATTGTCGCAAATTTGCAGCATACCCACATTTCAATGTATTATTTTTTTGCTATAAATTAATCATCTCAACTTAATTTACCATCTACTTTAAGGACAAAAACACACACAAAACATTATTTATGTACATTAAATTCAGGCGTTAAGGGGCTATAGTTAACTACCTTCATGGAGATAAGCAGGTAACATCACTAAGCCAAGCTACAGGTCAGATCTGTGAAGAGGCGACCCTGCTCACAGTAAGAATGCATGTATTTGAAGCTATAAAACTTGTATATAACTTGCTAGATAAGTTTAATGCCATAGTTTGGAGCATTACAGACAACATCTTTAAGGACCAGAAAAATTGCACAGTACACCTTCAGATTACCAATAGATCAGGGCAACTATCAGAGTAATAAAAGAAAAAAATAAATAATTAAAGTTGCAGAAATGGTATTGTTGGTTATGTTTTGTAACAAATTTGTGATTGTTTTAGGGAGGCCATCTCTGTGGTGTGTGAAGCCGTTCCAGGAGCCAAAGGAGCCCAGCGCAGGAGAAAGGTACACAGCACATACACGGTCTACACGCCCATTATTTATTTATACTCTTTAAGTGGGCAGCAGTGGAAAGGGCCTGTGCATAAGAGCTGAATTTAGTTTGATTATCCATTCTGTGGTCAGCTGGCTATCCTGTCCCACTGTTCCTACACACACATACACACACATCTGGCTTGATTTTGCTGTGGTTAGCCAGCTACTTGCAGGTAATTACCAATCACTCTCATCTCTGTCTTTTCCCTCGCTTATTGTCACAAGGGAGGCTTAAGACGTGGAGTGGTGTGGAGCCAGCCCGAGTAGCCCTGTACAGAAGATTAGCGGGCATGGCTGCCAGAGGGCCTGAAAACAATATTCCTGTAATGCTAAAAACATCCACCCAAACAGTCCATAAAACAGGTGGTTGAAATCCAGAACACTGCTCCTTTTCCCCAGTTTGACCGAGGAATGTCTGGCCGTGCAGACGAAACGCTGTCTCCAACAAGAATAGACCGGACTGGGCAAAATGTTCTGATTTAGCTGGACTGAGGTTAAAGTGCACATGACAGGCTTTCATGTTTTTCTAATTCTTATTTGGTGGTATAGTATCTGAAGTAAATATTTATCATAGTTTTACATGAGTTAAGAGGCAGTTTGCAGGGTAAAAAAAAAAGGTGAGAAGAAAAGTACGAAAATACAGGAAGTAGCACTGAGTTATCGAATGAGATACTTCTATCTTATGTCATCAACACTGGAAATTTTTATCTATTCACCGGAAGTGAGGCAGTTTACTGACCTCCAAAATGAAGGTTTTGTAATTTATTTTGTAATAGTCAAATCAACTGTTGTGCTGTTTACTTGGCTCTTGTTACCGTCGTGCTTGCTAGATAAGTTATTTCTACCTCTGCATATTTCATATCTGCTGCCTGTGTCAGGAAGTGCAAATATAAACTTCACTAAAATAAAAAAAACTGCCAAAAAAACTAGGTGTGATTTAATGATAACAGTAGCAGTAACATTGTATATAATGATGTTAACTGGCTCTATGTGTTAATGAAAAGAGTCTAACCTCAGGCTTGTGCACTTTAATGCGGCAGTGATGTTTCTTCACTGATGCTGCTGGCGATTCTCACGATGTACTTTATTTGAGAGCTGCTCTGGAGTGGGGCCAGCAGACTGACGCTGGCACAGACGGGCTGCTATCTGACCCACACTTTTGGCATCTCCTCGTCGGTCACAGTTGGCCTTGAAGATGAGATTACTTTCACAATTGCAGCTGTTCTCCCACTCCCCCACACAAAGGCATTTCCACATTCACATATTTGGAGTAGTCACTAACTAGTATAAGTACAACTCCTACATTGTGTCACTCTGGATCTCTGGGTTTATTTTAGGCAAGTCAGAGGTACTGTAGCCAGTGGTTATAGCCACGAGCTAACTGTGCTTTGAAAAGCGAGTTGCCTGTACTCCCCCTTTTTTTTCTTCACATAGGCATAACTGTTGGTTTCAGAGGGAATAAAAATTTGGATCTTTGCCATAGTGATTAAACAGTTTTTAAGTAATACAATAAATATATCTTTTGAATGGTAAAAGTCCTCAAAATGTCGCATATAACAGGAAGCTGGTAGTCATGACTAGAGTTTTGGAGAGGATAAAGCCGGATTTTGTACCATTGATCCACTGATTTATGCATTTGGAACGTTCCTTTTTTCCAGTATATTCTAGTTTATTTTTCATAACAAAAACATAAAATAATATAAAATCTAAAACAGAATAAACTCAGTGAGGATTAAAAACTTAAAAGTGAAAACATCAGCAGGTGAGTGGCAAAAGAAAATTCAATTCTAAGTTCTTCACAACACTTGGATGAGCGGTGAAACGTCTTCTTTCTAAAACATTTTTTCCACTTGACAGAATTTTATTGTCTTTTGCTCTGGATCCTACCTGGACAACTGAGTTATTACACAAACATTAACAACTGTAAATATATGGAGAGATATATAGAGAAATTGTCCCATTGTATGTAAATTCACCTTGATTTATCCAATTTTACTGATTCTAAATCTTTGTGTCTTGCTTTTCCAGCCTTCTTCTCGTTGCCTATCGTCCATCCTTGGCAAGAGTAACCTGCAGTTTGCTGGCATGACAATCAGCCTCACCATCTCGACCAGCAGCCTCAACCTGCTGGCCTCAGACTGCAAACAGGTTAGACTGAAAAACACTTAACACTCTCTGCTTTTTTGCACTGAAAATATATTAGAACAAACAGCCAAATGAGAAGTCCATGGTCTTTATTTAAACCCAGGCTCTTAGTGTCTGTTCAGTGCTTTTAATTTTGATGAAAAGTGAATGTGTCTGGTTCTTGGGTGTTGCCCAAGGACACTGCAAATGAATCTATTGAACATCCACGCACAAAATGTGTCTTCAGTCTATGGTAATGACAAGAATATTAAATGCAAGTTATTATACATTTACACTTTGTTACTAAGCAGACATTGCCAAAAATAGTCTCAATGATGGATACTTTGTTAACAATGACCACACATAGTCTGCCTATCATTCAAAAGAGTCGATATAAATAGCTGATATATGCATGTAAAACACTATATAACATGCAAGAATCAAAAAATTATATAACATAATTGTGACCATACCGTGTCAGGATGATCAAATGCATTACTGTTTTAAAAAAATATGTTTATTGATAAGTTTAAAATGTTTGAGCTATATTTAAATGTGCTGTAGTGTTCGCCTGATCGGGTCTTTGATGCAGGCCAAATTCCTTTTAACCATTATCCTCATCCCTGTCCCGCCCTGGGGCTCAACTTGATCCTCCTGCTAGACCTCTAATGAGTTAATAGCTGCTGAACGATCTATATTTCTTTGGGGAGATTGTATACAGGGAGAAGAGCAGCCTACACATTAATGCACTATACGGACAAACACACACAGGGAGGGTATCCGTGCTTTTGGGGGACTGTACATTGACTCACATTCATTTCCTGGACACGGATCCTAACCTTAATCAACCTGCTTAAAATGATAATGGTATTTTCATTTTTTGAGCAAAGTCACCTGCATGATTCCATGGAAACTGAAAGTTAAGATTGTATCTGATTCTGATTCTGATTCTGAATACTTCCAAGCATTCTCCATATAGATAGATTTGTGTTATTCCATACTAGTGCTGGGTATCATTAAGAAGTTACCAATACTATACATATCTCGATACATAGGCTATGATAGGATACATGTCTTGATACAGTGAGCTTTCGATTTGATACAATATATTTCCGAATCGATACAGTTCAGTAAAAAATAATGGCTAAATCATGGCTGTGATACTAAAAGTCTCTGTTAAACCACTTCTTGTGCAAAGTTAAAATGAAACATGCCCATTTTAATCATCAAAACAGTGAAAATGTCAAATGTGTTACATAAATGAGTTTCCTTTCTGTAAATAAACAACAAAACTGTAGCTGTAACAAAATAATTTTGTAAAATATATCAATAAATACTCTTGGCGATATATCGGTACAACAGCCCATGATATCGATACTGTATCATGACATTAAATGATACGATATATTGATATTTTGATATTTCTGCACACCCCTAGTCCATACAGTGTAATATTATAGTCAAAGGAACAAGATTTCCATGGAGACGAGCAGGAGGATGTTCTTCTCAAGGCTAAATAAGAGTTTGTTTTGTCGAGATGCAAGCCCACTCAGACTGAGGATGAATGTTTTTTTTTGTTTGTTTTCAATACAATAAATACATCTATTACTAAAAAGGCGTGCTTTTATTTTAGTATATTTTTGGCCAAAAAAGTTAGATACTATGGCTTTAACCTTACCCTAACCTTAACCTGTTTTATCCTGTCTGAACTTGAGACCATGTTGTTGACTTAATAATAAAGGATTCATTATATTTTTGTCTCAATAAAAGAAGCAGATCCCCATGAATATCGTGTGTATAAAGATTTTAGTCCCCGCAGTGTAATGAATACCCCCCCCAGTGCACCCTCTCAAACCCATTCACAAAAGCAGCCTCAAATATAGCCCTCTCGTTATCCATTTGCAAGTGTTGTATTGATTCTGCCACTGTTAACGAGATGTCTCATTCATTGTCTGTACTTGGTGTTTACAAAGCGTGTCTGCTACAGGCTCACTGGAAGAATACTGCACTTTATCAACATTATTTTGCATTGGTGTCTTCATACACATGGCCTCATCTCATGTCCCATACACTTCACCTCCACCCACCCCTCTCCCCCCTCTTTCTCTCTCTCTCTCTCTCTGTCTCTCTCTTCACAGATAATCGCCAATCATCACATGCAGTCCATCTCCTTCGCCTCTGGAGGAGACCCCGTGAGTCACCCAAGCCTTTCTCTGTCTTCTCCGTCCATGTCCCATGTCTTTCCACTCGCCTCCTTGACTCCTTGACTCCTCAGCTGTCAATCATGTCTTCTGAGAGGAGAGAGCCAATCGGAAGAAGCCTGCCGCTCTCCTCTATGGCTCTTTCTCCTCTGTGGGTGGGGCAAACAGCTGAGGAGTTGAGGAGGCATTTGAACAGAAATGGGACACGACCTCTGGCTTGTTTCCATTTCTCCTCTGCCTTCTTAACTTCCTTCCTGTCTTCTGTCATTGTCGGTTCCTATGAATATCACTCACAGGCGATTGGTGCTTTCTCTCACAAGCATGATCTCATTACGGCTCAGACAATGCCTTAGCTCAGCTTCCGTAGTGTCTCAAATACTCATACCTTTGACTCTATCAGTTTTCCTATTCTAATCCTGCTCTTGACTTTTTCCTGTTATAGATTTTTCCTCATGACTTTCTATAACTCTGCTCTCTATGTTTCATCAAGGATACAGCTGAATACGTAGCATATGTGGCCAAAGACCCCGTCAACCAGCGAGGTGAGAATCTCAGTTACATATTACACCTCGTTCATTGTTTTGTACTGTTTGAGTCCGACTTCTCCATTCCTGTACATACAAAGAAATTGAGAAGTTAGTTCAGGCTCACCTTTGCTCTCTGGTCTCACCTGGCACACTATCAGACAGCAGTAACGTAGAAAGCATCTAGTGGTGAAATGTGAGAATACTAGGGGTGTAACGATATCCAAGTCTCATGATACGATATCGTCACGGAATGAAACTCACGGTTTGATTTTTATTTTGATATATTTTTAGGAAAGCTCACGATATGGTGGGGAGTCTCACGATTAGGAATGTAACAATATCCAAATCTCTCAGTATGATATTTTCACGATACACATCTCACGGTACGATATTTATTGCAATATTTTGTGGAGGCAAACAAAACTGCTAATATGCTACTTTTTCCTCTTAAAATGCCTTGACAAGACTTAATCCAAAAAACTAAGACTTAAAAGTGCTTAGAACTGTTATTCCTTCATGTAGTCTACACTGAAATGGAGCAAAGGATCATGGTCTATGTAGTTCCCTCTGTCGTTTTTTAGCTATTGCTGCACCATAACTCTTAATTTAAGCAAAGAGACTTGTAATTTCATATATTGAGATGGTCCACGATATTATTGTGAGAACTTTGACGATACGATATCACGATATTTTGGTTATTGTTACATTCCGAGAGAATACAACAGGCTTCGGGTTGGCCAATCTAATTACAGATGGAAGCTTTAAGTGCTCAATCCTTAGTCTAAATAAAAATTATTCAATAAAGAAAATAACAGCAGTTTTCTGCTGTTCAAAAAGCTGCATATTCATTTGTTTCAGCTTTATGTTTATTGGTGACTATTTGCCTTTTCAGGAAAAATGAATATTTAGCTTTGATCTGTTGGTAGCTTTCCTAATTTTTCATCACTCTAAAACCCACATATAGTAGGAGGTAGTACTTAAGGATAGTGAATGCTTAGAGCTTCTCATAATGTAGCTCACTCCCTGGGTACTATTAAGTCTTTAAATGTTGGTTAGATGTTCTGTAATAAGTGACCCAGTTGAATGTACACCACGGACCCCCTCTCAGAACTAATTGCCCGTAGTTATTCACTGTTCCTTAAAATCCCTGGGCTCTGATTCATGTTGCAGCTGTTTGGTTAATCACTCAGTCACTGTTGTGTTTCCTGTAGCGTGCCACATCCTGGAGTGCTCTGAGGGCTTAGCTCAGGAGGTCATCAGCACCATCGGTCAGGCTTTCGAACTGCGCTTCAAACAATACCTGAAGAATCCACCCAAATTAGTCACTCCACACGACAGGTAAACGAACTGCTATAAACCACAAAACTGCTATAAAACAACAAAAAAGTAAAAACAATCCTAACAAATATGAATTAACTATAAATGAAATTCACAGTATATCTGCTTCCTGTTTCTTGATGGTTCCTCAAAAATCAAGCTTATCTATAAAAGCTTCCCTTTTGTCCTATTGTGAGCCAGTAATAAATAACCATTGTTTTATCCAAGCCAAATGACAAAAACTCACTTCCTTTTTGCTTGCTCTTAAATTTCATAGAATATAATTTTTTACTGTGAAGTATACAGTGTTTGTTTTTTTACCACTTATTTAAGGCATACTGTGTAACTTTTATGGTGGAGGAAATCAGATGAAAAACTGTAGCTTTCAACAGTAGAGCAATAAACTTGGGTATCTACTTGTAGACAAGCAAGACTAATGCTTTTTTTCTTCAATAAAAGGTTAATGAATGCGATACTGTGAAATGTTTATGCAAAATAATAACATATTCACAGAGACAAACAGGTAGCAGACCCTTCACCAGAAAAGTTACATGGTGCATCTTTAATACACGTGTGATGGTTCTCAAACTGTTCTGGGCACCGCTTAGACTCCAGTTGTTGTGAAAAGTTTGAGACACTCTGTACTGTGTGTTGATTAGGATGGCCCCATTCGATGGTTCAGCCTGGGAGGAGGAGGATGAAGAGCCTCCTCCTCCTCCTCCTGATGTCCCGTACTACAATAACTTCCCCGGGAAACAGCCGCCCCCTGGTGGACTGATCGATATGAGGACGCGCCCCGGGGCCACTCTGGTGAGAACACATGCGTGGACACACATCTATCTCTAATCGAATCTATGCCCCAACACATCTCGAGATATCTGCACACGTGCCCCAACACAGCCTGGGAAATGTACTTTAAAGACTAACCTTCAAAGGATTTCATGTGACGAAACAAATTAGATTTTTCCAAGTACAAATATATATTTTTTTTAAGATCAAAATGAGACTTCTGTGTCCACTGTCTACGTGTAATTATAGAGCATTTTAATCTTTGGTCAAACAGAAAGTAACACTGGGAGCATGCTACTTTTTGTCAGCATTACTCCAGCCTGAGACGCTGCTATCAGTTTAACTTTAACTAGTTCTGTTTTTTATAGTAAAAATCAGTTACAGCTCCTTTCCTTTACCCAGTCCTGTTTGCAATCACATATCGTTTAATGATGACCTGACCTGAGTCAGTATAACTCCATGGACAAAGTACTATTTTTCATAGAAAAATGTGAACAAAAAATCCACCAAAGGAGATTCAATTATTGTAAATAAAAATGTCCCTAAACCCTACAACAGCAACCAAGCCAAAACAGGTCAGTGGAGCATATCACCAATTATGAAAACAAAAATCCACTTTGTGCTCATTTGTGCTCACAGACAGGACTGTAAAGCATTTAGGTTTAGGTAAAATGATCCTAGCCACATGACACAAAACTTCTATTTGTTCTCCTAGACTAAATGCTAATATTAATAATAACTTTGCTTTTGTTTGCAGCCGTATGGACAGCCAGGTCAGACTGACATTCACAAACAGCCGCTCCCTCCTCTACCAGGTACAGCCTGTTCTGTGTGCTCTCAACTTTAGCAAAAGGCTTCTGTGTTACCAAGCTACAAGAGGTTCTCCAAATGCTATTATTAACCCCACGAGAACTGGCTTAGATAAACTCAGTGCACCATTATTAAACCAAAATTGTAGAAGTTGGGGATGTACAGTCTGCAAGATAATATTGGAATTGATTGATTGGTAATTTTGTGCACTTTCAAACCAAAAGAGTTGACTACGGTAATTGTAATCCTGAAAACAAGGGTATAAACAGCCCTTTTTGCACTTTTGTGGTTAATTCACTTTTTGTGCAATACTTGAACCTTGAAGACAATTACAGGTGTATTTTTGGACATTCTCAATCAATTTGCCTTTAAACTGTTTGATTATCACTCAAGGCAATTAAAAAAAAAATCAGTATATATATTTTTTTTCTATATCACCCACCTCGAGCGTAGAAGATACATATTTCCCCACAGTAGTATTAGAAATAACAGGAAATGCCTTCTTGGGAACTGATCACTTGTGTTGTTTTGATAGTGGGTGCCAAAGAAGGTGGACTTTTCGATGATCCTTCGTATGTGAATGTGGATAAACCTCGTGCTCCCGCTGCGTCCAATGGAAACGCACACAGAGATGCTTTTGACATGAGTAAGTGCTTTATATTCTTATAATTAAAATGAAATTGACTGGAACAATTTTCAAACCAAAACCCATGTGCAAAAGAAATTGAATGGCCTCCTCATCTGTATGCAGCTCACCGTCTCAGGGATATGATTGAATTTGCTATGACAGGTCGGGTTGTATTAAAATGTTATATACTGCATGGCTTATTTGGTTTCATTATTTTATTTAATTAATTGATTTCCTCATGTGGTCAGTAATTAGAAGCAGGGCATATTGGACTTTCTATAGGGCCAATTAACATGGCTGACTGAAGAACAGAGCTGCACGGGAAGCAAGTTTAAAAGCAGAGAAGAGAATTACAGTGGCTTTGATCGTTATGAAAAAGGGAAAAATATAGGCCAATGCTTTAAGGTGCGCTTGGTCACTTTTTTTGATTCACCACTTTCTTCTCTCCGTGGAGATTGTATTGCTTTGCTCGGAATGTTCTACAGTATGGCATTAAACTTCTCTATCTCCATGGAGACAATGAGGTGGACTCATCAGGCCAAAATATGGGTCAGTTCTGGTTTCTAGGTGTTTTTTTTAGTTTTTTTTTAGCATTAGCATTAAAAATCTTCCATCAGAAAAGTGACTTGGTGCCAAAAACTTCTCCTGTCATTATGGAAATCATATTTTTGCTGAGTTTTTCAATAAGAACAATTTCTAACAGAACCGTTTGATGACGCTTTGGGAGTCTCTGGGTATCCGAGTGCCTCTACAGCAGCGCCCCCTCTGGTGGAGCAGCTGCAGTGCGAGACGTGGTTCCACGGCAGTATGAGTCGCAGAGAGGCCGAGCGGCTGCTGACCAGAGATGGGGACTTCTTGGTGAGAGAGTCCGGGACCACTCCGGGCCAGTACGTCCTGACGGGGCAGCAGGGGGGGCAGCCCAAGCACCTGCTGCTGGTGGACCCCGAGGGAGTGGTGAGTCTGGATTTCACAGATACATGACCCGGACATTCACCTGCATTTTGCCAGAACAAGTCAAGTGATTTCCCTGTATTTTTATTTTTGTATTTTTATCTAGTAATATCCTGGGTCATGACCTAGTAAAATCTGCAGTGCTAGTGGGAAATGTGTGAATCAGGGTCACAGCTGAGTGTTCAGTTTTTATTGTAAACAGTAGAAGCTAGGGATGTAACAATAACCAAAATATCGTGATATTGTTTCATCAAAAGTCTCACAATAATACCGTGGGCTGTCACAATATATCGAATTACAAGTTCCTTTGCTTAAATGCATTTTTTTTAATAGTAGCACTAGCTAATAAACATCAGGAACTACATATCCCATGATTCATTTCAGCACAGACAGCATGAAAAAATATGTGTTTTACTTGAATTCTTGAAATTATGACAATAATAACTCACACCAAAGTCTTGTCAATGTATTTTAAAAACAAAAAAGCATCCTATCTACAACTATATGAGCCTCGCCAAAATATCACAATAAATGTCGTACCGAGAGATTTGGATATGTTAGATATAGATATGTAGGAGCACATGTCACAGTTATTACTTTTAATTTTTAATGCACCGATACAGTATTGGTATTGGATATCAGCGCAGATGCTGAAAACAATTGCTGGATTGGATATCGGCTTCCAAATATCAGTTCATGACATTTGATATCCTGACTGAACATATACAATGATGTACTAATACTATTTATTGGTCATAATTGACTCAGAAAGTCTCTCAATATTTGAATTTTTATTTACATTTTATTTACAAGTTGTTCTGTAGTTATTTTGAGGGATAAAGAACCGCTCCATAAGAGATTTGGATCAGTTTTGTCTTATTTTATATGTATTTTAAAGGAGATAAGTGCTGTTTTCAGTCTCTCTAAAGCTATCGTATCGTATCGGAACTGAAAACGCTGAATCACTGAGTCCCTACGTGCTAAATAATTACAAGAATCGCATGCATTTCAAACCATAAACTACAGAATTAGCCGGTTTTACGCATAATAAGACCCAATGAGGATGTTTCATGTTTTTGCATAATTGCAGCCTGTGCTTTTTGCTAATTGCAGCCATTCAAATTGCCACTTCAAGTGCAGTTAATGTTGCTAGCTCTGTGACTCTCTTTCAGTATGAGATTTTAATTTGATTTTCGCCGTTTAGGTGCGCACCAAAGACCACCGGTTTGAAAGTGTGAGTCACCTGATCAGTTACCACATGGATAACAGACTGCCCATTGTATCAGCTGGGAGTGAAGTGTGTCTGCAGCAGCCAGTGGAGCGCAGAACCTGATGCACCAAAAACATCACCAAAAATAAATAAATCTCCACAAACAGTGCATCTACACCTGCTCTGGTGTCCATAGCAACACTACGCTAGAACTCATCTCCACTCCGCACTGCAAAAAAATGCCAAAAGAAAAAGAATTCACTCTCTGCTGCTGCTTTGACATATCCATTTGTTTAAAAAGCCAAACTCTGTCCACCATTCCACCAACTGTGACCACACCAGCCCTGAACGTGTGGGCGCAACGCTGCAACTCCATCAGCCAACTGTGAAGCAGAGGGGGACACCTTTGCAATGTTCACAATTGAGCAGAAAACAAGGAAATGAATGCAAATCTGGAGTGTACGAGGAGAAATTGTGCAAAGATTTTCTAGGATTAAGAAAAGGACCTGACGTAAGAGTGCTTTATGGGAGAAACGCTCTCCTCAGACTGTTGCTGTGGGTAATCGGTAAACAACGGTTATTTAAAGAGACTGTTTGGGACTGGTGAATATGTATCAGCGAGTTTCTTCCAATTTAATCAGGAGTGCCCTCTACTGTTGAACTTTGACCCTGGAGTAAACCTGGTGTAGAGCCTAACCTGTATGCAAAGTGGAGAGTGCTATGCCAATAAGCATCATTATTATTATTTCTTGAAACATTTTACTTTTGGGAGGATCTGTACTAATTTACTCAATATAGACTTGAGAAACAGCACTTGCATCAAAAAAAATATATATACTTGCTTAATGAAGTTCCCATGGTAATTCCCGGTATAAAGCAAGAGCTAAACGGTTGCTAATGTGTCTTCATTGGGTTTCAGATTGAGTGGTTAAAAATCCTCAAAACGGCGCCCAAATAGGAAGCAGAAACCCATATATTGGTCCTATCTTCAAAAATAGCGTTTCAATTTATTTGTCCACAAACAAACATTTAAATTGACATTTTATTGTGCGTATGTTTGCATTGACAATCTTTGGGTTAAATCGTTTGAGGATTATTTGTACAAACATGGAGCGATTCATGTAAAATGGCATAGATTTTTTTTAAAGTCAAAGCAATGTGTATTTGTAAGTCTAAGCAATTGAAATTCCTCTGCAAAAACAGTGACAACGACTATGCCATAGCAACGGTTTACTCTGTATCATGGTGTTTTGTGAAATGAGGGATTGTTTAGCTTTAGACGTTATGAATGAATGTGGCTTGGCTTAATTAACATAAGTGTTTGTGGAGAACTGCTAATGACAAGACTCAAAGCCAAATGTTGTTCCTCTGTGTGCTGTTTTCACAAAGTGTTGCAATGGGGAGTATATGTGCTCACTGTAGCCTCTCCTCCTCTCTTCATTGTAAAAAGTATTATCTAGACAGATCAAATGACCTGAATTGACAATGTTTTATTTTGATTTGAGTAGAATGTAATTATCATCCCAAAGATTTGTTCTTACTTCAAGCAAAAATAGTGTTTTAAATGTATTACTTTTCTTATTTCAACTGCAAATAGTGACTTTTATTAAGTGCACCAAGTTATAATTATAATTTAAATACAATTATTCTTATTCCACTTCACAGAAAACTTCAATAAGTCAAATCCACTCAAATCAAGATACATTAATTCAAGTGTGTTTAATTAACTTGCCCAGATATTACTTTTTGCAGTGTTTTTATGTTTCATGTTGTTTTTATAACCTTTTTAATTGTGCCTTGTTTCTTCAATGCAGTCACTCCGATGCAGTCACCTTGTGTACTTAACCCAAATGTAGTTCACTGCAGGAGACTCTCTCAGTAAAAACCACAACGCAAAAACTTCAAAATCTTCAAAACCAGTCCGTGATGGCAATCTCACACAGTGCACGTCCTGCATTCAGCATACAGCCACAGATACTTGATGTCACCGTTGGAGGGATATTTCTGAGATAATTTGTAAATAGCATTTTTGGTTGTTGAGCTTTGTATTTGCGCTGGACACTTCATTTTACACTTGTGTATTATAAATCAGAGCTAGTCGCCACAGCATATAAGGTGGCTCTTGAAGTTCACCTAAAGACATGCTATGTAATTTTCAGGTGGGGTTCATTTGCTTGTCGCCATGGAGATGTTATTGCTTTGCCTGGAATTATGGCATTAAATCTATCTTGCATTTATTCAGTTCAAAGCGTTCAGGTGTTCAATCTCACTCTTCACAGATATGACCTGTAACTTTGCCAACTGGCATCATTTTCTATGGATAAAGGCAAAGCAATAACATCTCTATGGAGACAAGAGGGTGGCAGATCTTCCACCAGAAAAGTTACACAGTGCACCTTTAAATGTCAAAGTGTGTGAGACAAGTGGATACAATCTTGACAAGGGATTTTTTGACCATCGAGAAGCTTTCAGGGCCGGAGTGGGATCATGTGTAAAACCGACATCAACACTTTGATATCAGAGGGTCAGCTGGGTCAGCCACACACAGACTATGCAGTGGGGAAGGGACAAAATCTCGTGCCACAAGATTTTACAAGAAAATGAGTGGCCTAAAGTGTGAACTGAACTTACTGTAAATTATGTCAAAATCTTTTCTTGTCTTGATTGTCTCGTCCCATTCCTACTATGCAGTAAATATTGTTTAATAAAAAAATATCAGAAGTTAGGACTGCTCAGTTATAGTAAAAAAAAAAATCTAAATTATGATTATTTGAGTCAGAATTTAAATCATATTTTTTAAACTCTTGAGTATATTGTCAAATTTAAACCAAAAAAGGAAGAATATACTTTATATATTTTTTAGATATTCATGTTTAAAAGCCTCTGTAGATTAGCAAAGTGACTTTACTCCTAGAACAATCACCCATATCATTCAAAACATTTCTTCTGTTTACACGTTTATAGTCGAATGGTTCAATAATTGTGAAATTCATAAACAGTATGATTAGTAATTGAGCAGCCCTATCAGAAGTTCTACACTGCTTTTACGGTCAGTTTGTGGTTGAGATGTTAAAATGGACCCACCTGCCTCTGCTCCATCTGTGACTATGGCGTTCGTGTTGTTTCACAGTTGCCTTTGTTGCATGAAACTTTTTGGACGTTCTTGCTCTTGTTGTTAATGTGGGTGGTGGTATTGTTGATAATGCTGTTGTAATTTTAATTGTTTGAAAGCCAAAGGTTACTTTCAACTCGTGTGCACAGATCTTGATTTTTACTTTATATGTTTTAATACTTTCGGGGAGAAATGTGTCTGTATCTGAAAATAGATTGCATATATAAATACATTGTATCATCAATTGCGGTTTTGTTTCGTCTTTACTGTTTTGAATTTTAGAATTTTTTTATTTATTTTTTTTAGATGTAGCATACATGGTTGAAGTTTGAATTGAAACACGGTCGACTTCTATCCAAATTCAAACACAGTCACCAACTTTTGCATATTATTTTTGCATAGACTTCATGATAATCCCTCATACTCTTCGTTTGACGTTATTATACAAATGAGATACCCAAGTCTGCCCTCTCCATATACAAATCCTCATTAGATCTGTCACAATAATGATTTTTGAAGCATAATTTACTGCTACAGAGAAATACTGCGATAAATGATAATATTGAAACTACTTTATGCCACTGACACAAAGCAAGACAAACCCTGTAAACCAATTTTTAAATATAGTGTATATTATTAAAAGGGATGAGCAGTAACAAATAAATACCAGAATGAACTTGTGCTTAGTGACAGAAGTTATTTAGTCAACATTCTACACCTTAAATCTTACTGTATTAGGTACAAAATGGTACAAAAGAAACAGCTTTGCAAAGAAATGTGTTAAATATTGAGCCCAGTTTTTGTACATTGAACGAGAAGTCAATTTTGCAATTTTCCTGACAGGCCTAGTCCTCATGTCTCAGTCTTATAATTTATTACCACTTTCAAATAGACCCTCTTTGACAAATCTGAGCTGTCTGGATTCAAAATGCAATATAGTTAATTAACCTATATGTTTAGATTCATATTGATGTTATAATTACCTCGTCCCAGAAAGGTTGTTTTGTATTCACCCTGTGTCTGTGTGTGTGTGTGTGTCTGTCTACCTGCGATAATTCCGCCATTTATGGACCGATTGTCACCAAATTTGGTACGTGGGTCAAGCCCCCGTGCCCGATGCCGCAAAAAAAGTTTGGTGCCGATCCGAGGTCATTTGAGGTCACACGGGTCAATTGGAAGGTCACGCCATTATAAAGAATAGGCAATTTCAGCCATTTCTGAACCATCTGCGCTTGTTTTATCAGATATAATATGTATCTCATACTTTTTAGTTAGTCAGTGAAATGTGTTTGGACCCCAGTTTAGTTCTGATGTAATTAGTTTGGTCCTGGTTTAGTCCTATTTGGTCCTTGTTTAGCCTTAGTTTACTCTAGTTCTAGGTTTAGTCCCAATTTTGTCCCAGTTTTATGTGGTGTGTGTAGCCCTCGTTCACTCCTGTTTATATCCCTTTTCATAATGGATAGAGTTGGTTTGATCAGAATTATTCTTGGTTTAGTTCTGGTGGTAGTTTAAAATCAAATATGTTTTAGGTAGGCCTGTCGCAAATGTATACAATAACAATAAAGCAGGATTATCCATGTAAACTATTTTTGAATTTTCAGCATCATTAAAAAACACAAACTGCAACAAATAAGTAACAGAATTAACCAATAGATACAGATATAGATGGTTATTTATTCAATCCTCTAAATCATTGTTCACAAAGACTGGGTCGTGACCCTCAGATGGGTCTCAAGAGATTTTTTTGGGGTCACCTGATCTGTGTGCTGTTCTCTCTTCCTGCACCCCGGACTGGAATGTGCTACAAAACATAGACAGGCCCATTTATCTCATTAGAAATGCTGAAATGTTAAGTATTGTTCCTACTTTCATATATTGAACGATAAGTCAGTACAGTAATTATCGTGACAGGCTTTAGAACAAAACATCCACTCTAGAAGTTTTGTCTCATACTGTCCAGAACAATGGCTGTGATTGGGGGACATGTTGAAACAACTGGAAATCTCCACTGTCTGAATGTGTGTGAATGGGCATTGCCTGTAACAGTAGTGGGCTTATTCATGGATCACATGGGGTTGATGTACAGCAGAAGAGACCAGTGCACAGGTAAACACACTTTCACTCATTCAGGGTATAGAATAGTGAAGAAGTAGCTGGATTTGTGAGTGAAGTTATAAGTATTTGAGTGCAATACTGACACGAGGCTGCCAGTTTGATTTTACAGACTGTACCATCTCTGCGCTGTCAACTTGAGCATCTGTGGAGCCATGCATCCCCAACGCCCTCTGCCACAAGCCATGCCCGCTCCCCCCTCGTCCTCCCTGGGACAGCAGCTACGTGACATGGCGATAGGCCTGGGCCGGGGCAAGAACTTCCTCGGGGGAAACTTTGCCTACGGGTTCATTCAATCTGTCAAAGAGTGCCTGTATTTTCTCCTCTGCTGCTGGTGCATCAAAGAGATTCTGGACTGAAATGAATTAATGATTTTTCTCCGGCTTCTGTTTCAACAAGCTTCTGATCATGAGAGATGCAGTGGTAGCCTATAGCGTGCAAGTTGGCAGGTATGTGGCACTTGGAAACTCACAGTTGACTTGTGCTAATGAGTTTTCCTTTTACTTTGAACCAAGAACAAGATCATTTGACTTGAACAAATTAGTTTTAATTGCAGTGGAGATCTGGGACAATAGGCAACTAATTGGCAAATATTAGCTTCCATTAAACCGCCCCATTCGCTGTAATGTTCTCTCCTTCTAATTTGAGACTCTTGGGAACTCATTGTTGTTAGTAATAAGCTGTTAGGCCTATTTATTAATATTATTGGCCAGATTAATATTTTCTTTAATTTTATTTCCACAGCTGGATCCTTTTGGGGTTTGGAGAAAGACCTGCTACTACTTTTGCAATAATGGCTATAAATAAATAAAGAAAGAATTGGAGCTACTTATTTGTGGCCTTTTAATTCATTTCTAAGTAGATAGTGCACAAATGTTGTTCCATGCAGCTCCCTTATGTTATTAGGTTCTTTTTTCAGACCAAGAGTTTGTTTTCATACCTGACAGTTTCAATGCTCACTAGCGCTCTTCCTTAACATCGTCGCTGGATTAAAGTGGTAATCGAAATACGGAAACATGCCCACAGGACTATAAACCGGGACGAAGGGGCTTTTTTACTCTCACACACCTGGGATACTGTCCTGAGGAAGTTGGACTGCAGATGGCGCTGTCGTCCTGTCTCCATCTGTAGGAAGACAGCATCAAAACATGTTTAAATCAGCTGTCCGGACACCTCAAAGCAACACGTGACCACTCTGAGGAAGACCGCTAGTGAGCAGTCGAAACTGTCAGGAATGAAAACAAACTCTTGGTCTGAAAAAAGAACCTAATACATAGTATACTAGTGCAGGGATCTCCAGCCTTTTGCGTCCAGTGAGCTACCTTTACAAAATGAAAATGCAGGAGAGTTACTCATTTTAGCGGCTGCAAAAAACTGATACAATACAAGAGGGCAAGCCTTAGATGTACGCTTAGATGCCTATAAAACATTGAACCATTATCCATTTATTAGTGCACAAAGTTCAAAAATAACACATTTACAGTAGCAATTATCAAATATGAGCTATTTAGTACAATACGTATAATTCAGAAATCCTTTGGCGAGCTACTTGTAAGGGGGTGAAGAGCTACTGGTAGGTTGGAGACCCCTGTTCTAGCAAAAGTGTATGGAGTTTAAAAACACAGTGGAGCACTTCCTGTATAACCGCATGACATCACAAGGTGGATTGTTTTCCGTTTGATAGAAGATGTCAGCTTAAATATGCAGCTTGTGTGTTAAATGTGTAAGAATGAAACTAAACAAAATGCATTATAACATAAATCAGAAAACAGCATAATAAAGCTTTTAGGAAAATAGGTCAACTGTAGGCCTGTTTGAACTTGACCTACATACAGTGAAGTTATTCATTTGTAACTCACAATAATCACATTTTAGCCAAGGCAAGCAACAAAACCATAGACAACTGTAGCTGAGTTTTCCCTGTTGTTATCACATGCGCCTGTCAATCAACTTGCGGAAAACGCACAGAGAAAGAGAAACATGCTCCATTCTGATTGGTCAAGAAGATAAAGTAAGGCGGGATCTTCTTCAAACCGAGCCCTGATTGGACGATTTCCTCGACACTCACAACAAGTTTCAGGGGGCATGTTCAGAGTTCCCAAGTTGGATGAAAAAGACGTGGGAAGTGGGTCTATTGATGCTGGGCGCTGTCTCCAATAAAGATAATCGCTTGGGTAAGGATTATACGGCCCCATGTTTTACGCGCACTTTTTGTCGCTAGTTTTATGTCATCTTTTGTTCTTCTGTGGCGACATTTGTTTCACTTTTCCTGGTTAACTCGTGCTGTAAAGGTCGTGCAAAGATTGAAACACAAACCTGAGCATGAATGTAACCTTTAGATAATGTATTACTGTCTTTACTGATACCATAGATTACATTTTGTTATTTGTATCCATAGAGATGAGACAATCTGCGTGATGTTGCGCACGATAAAAAGCATATGGCGTTTCCTGTCATGTTTACATAGTGCTTGTAGTGCTTCTATGCGCCTGATGTCATATGCAAGTAACATTCCTCCTGTCTTAGCAAGCAGCAGTTTGTGCACAGTTGCCTTCTTTGGTAGTTTTCAACCAGGAAATAGATAACTGGAGTTGAACAAATGTTTGTAATTGCAAGAGAGATATGGGACTTTCAGGAAACAACAATTGTCAGACATTAGTAAACCTATTAAACTACACAATGTTCCTTCTTCTTGTCTGCAGCCCATCTCATGTTTGCTATATTTAGCCTATCTATTTAAGCCTCCCCACTGTATGCTCAACACTGCTCCTTGGGCCTCAGGCTGGATCCAGAGACTTCTCCTGGGACGCAAGACCTAAATGGCAAAGCTGAAAGGAAATTGAATTTGGGAAGTGAAGTGTGTCACTCTCAAGACGGTGTAATGTTTAATACATCTTAAATCCTTTTGGGTGAATGTGAGAATCTGTTTGCCTATTGTAAAATGTGTAACTATATGTCTGTGAAATCCATTTGATTTTAATCAAGACTGGCATTCAGTCATCTCTAATTGTCAATATGTTTGGGTATTTCTATTCCAGAAGTCTACCTCGAATCCTCAGTTTGGAGCAGAATTCACTTTGGCGGAGTAAATTGGACAGTTTTGTTGTTTTTAAATTACAATCAAAAGACCCCCTTCTTGTTCTTGTTCAGGAAACTATAATTGTACATTTGGTTTTAGAAAGACACAATAAAATAAAATCAAAAGTCATGCATTATTTTGCCGTATTACCCAACTCTACATATAACGGAAAGATGAACGGCTAAACTAATTCAAGCTTTTCATTTGGGTTGCACAGTAAATCATAATCAAATCACAATTGCAATTGGCATTGGCACCATTTTCAACTGCAAAGGCTATAATTACTTAGACAATAGTGGCCTCTTCTCTTAAATGTTAATGCTTCTGGAGTTGTTTACTATGTGCACTCTGAACGGGAGCCTACTTTTTAAAAATCTAATCACCAGTACTTGTCAGAAGAATCACAATATTTTTTCAGCCCTAAAATTTCCCATGCATTTCAGAGTATATTTGCATCCACTAGGCCATTAGGTGAAGTTGTGTAGACCTTAGTTACCGGCCTTTCTGCCAAACATTTTTCCGCCACTAAAAGGCAGTGAGACCAAAGGCAGGGGACATGTGCTAACTGCTAATGAACCCCTCAATGCTTCGAGTGAATTACACTTCCTGCACACAGCCGTCCCTTGACATGTTTTAGAGTGCGTTACAGTAGCTCCTTTATTGGTGCTGTGGGTGAGGCTGAATGGGAGAGGCACTATTCAAATGCTGAACATGTGATTGCAGAGATGTAAATTACCTCTGCAACAGCTGCCTCATGCATCATTCTTCCACATGGGATTCTATGGTGTCAGGAATATTCACTGCTCCATTTGGAATTCTAATGTACTATTGGGCTTTTTTCCAGGTTTGTCACAGTGAACCAACCACTGTAATTTATAGTCATTTGTGCCAGATGCCCTTCCTATTGCAACAATCATATTTGCTGTAATTAGCATAAACAAAAAGATAGAAGTTTTAATGTGTCTGAATGAGGTTCAAACCACTTAGCATCCCGTTAGTGGGCTGATGTTTAACTGGCTGTGTGTAGTGGCGGTGTGTGTATGGCCTCACCTTTAGTCTGAGCTCTTGTTGTTTATGGCTGGTTCTCTCTGGTTTGTTGCAGAAGGCACAAAGCCTGTAGGGGGCCATGTCTGGCAGCTCAAACAACAGTTGGACAATTGTCACTCCCGAGGTAACATATTTCTTTCACTTCATAACTTCATAAGCATTTGAATGAGAATGGAAATACAGAAGAGGACATATTATGCACAATTGAGTTTTATGAGCTTTTAACAATGTTATAACCGTACTCCCTCATCATCACTCTGAATAGGCTTCAGAGTTATATTTTGCCTGATTCATGCATGTTTGAGCAACCTGTATCGTCCTGCATTTGAAGCACTATTGCTCACATGCGATTATTAAAAATAATTAGACTCTGCTTCAGACTGCTATGTCATCATTTTTCAACATCATAAACATGTAAAGCTACAATGAATGTCGCTATGAAGAGGCGGCTTTTCATTTGAACAGGAAGTCCTTGGACCTGTTTTTATTACTGATCTGTTTTAGATCAATATTTTGTATTTTACAGTCAACAAAATGTAAAATCATGGTCTTTGTCTGTTCCAGTTTAATACTAAATACCCTCACAAAGCACAGTGGTGGTACATTTAGGAGTTTCTCATGTTTTATGTTTTATGTACTGTGTTGTGTCAGGAGACTGCTGCAGCTGAGACCCTGAGGCCTCTCACAGAAGGAACAGAGCGCCAGGATGAACCCAGTGCACCCACTCAGGGTCTGTACCAGTTTAGTTTTTCTCTTTAATGAAATTAAAGTAAGTATTAAAGCAGTGTGGACATGTTTGTCTTTAACTGAACAGGTTTGGGTGCAGAGCCATCAGACGGTGCACATGGGTTATCTGAAGAGGACCACCCAGAACTGGTAATTATTGTTGTTATGATGTAAACATTTTAAAGTTGCACTATGTAACTTTTCTGGTCAATGGTCTGCCACCTAGAAAGTTCCACTATAATACAGAGAACTATTTATCTTCATGGAGACAAGTAGATCACACTATCAGGCCATGTTACAAATCATATCTGTGGAGAGGCTACTCTACAGTATACTTTAGATATAAAAACTGTTATTATTGAATGGATATGCATTTAATGCCATAGTATGGAACATTCAATATAAATAATTTACATTTTCATGGAGTCAAGCAAGTGGCTTGAGCAGGTGGCCCACCTGAAAAGTTACATAGTGCACTTTTAATGTTGACACGTGATAATTGTGTGCTATTTTTAATTCCAGGCCTAAATTAATTGTTTCTAAATGCTTTATTAATCCAAAAACTACATACTAATTACTATTGTCAGATTACTACGATATGGTTGGCACTTATGGTTTACTATGTCACTTTGGTAACTTTCCATTTCAGTTGTTGCTCTTTAAATAAACTTTTTCACTTTTTTTCATTTTAGACATCGGAAGAACAAGTAGCTCAACCAAATGAAGACAGCGATGCCTGTGCCCTCCCCTCCTCTGCTCCATCAGAGGTCCAGAGCAGCCCTGTCCCTGAGCCACAGACAGAGGGCGCTCCACTGGACTCGGGACTGTCCAGCACAGAGCCAGAGTCCTTCTCTGACTCCTACTCTCACCTCAGCCCCTCCTCAGATGAGACTCCCGCCCCCCCTTTGAGTGCGGAGACTCTGGGGTATCTGGACTCCGGGCAGGAGAAGGAGGAGGAGGAGGAGGCCAGGGAGCAGACAGAGATTCAGGACGAGACTCAGAATCAAGCCATCAGTCAAGAGCCAGAGGAGGAGGAGTCAAAGGAGGAATCAAAGGAGGAGTCACACCAGTTTAGTCCAATAGAAACACCTCAAGGTAAGACATAATTAGTGCATTAAAGTGTTAACTGGATGTGAACATATGCTCTAAATGCTACATAATCACAATTTCATTGTGGTGGCACTTCCAGTTAAGTGGGAATCCCGTTCATTTCAATGGAGAGTTTTGCTGATAGGTGTAAAATGTTCGAACAAGTCAACAATCCATTAATCCACTTTGTAGTCTGTATAGAACTTATTTGCTGTCAAAATCGGCAGCTTCATGCAAAATAAAACAACCTAAATGACAGCAACTTGGAGAATAAGGTGGATGCAACTCAGGGTCTGGTCAATCCTTGAATGGGAAACCTCTGGGAATACTAGGTGCCTCAGTGGTGCCGCAGTGGCTTACTGTTACTGTGTCCTTAGGCAAGACTCTCCCCCAACCTTGCCCAGTATGAATGTTGTGAGTATGTGATGTGATGTGATGTGACAAAAGCACAGATTTGCAGCCTCACTTTGGTCAGTCTACTCCAGCACTCCATGGGTTGTGTAAGATTTTTTTTCACCATACTTGGTCCATAATTAGAACATTTAAGTTATTTACACAACAACAAATCATAAAACACTAGAATGTGTCTTTGGTATGGTAGATAGTGCATGTAAAATTACCCATTTATTTCCTTTTAAATAGTATTATAGTATTATCTATTTAAGATAATTGCACCAGGCAGACCTGCTAGAAACTGACTTCATCTGTGTCAGGAGGTCATTGGAACAGACTGTGACCATAAGACCATGCTAGTTTTAGACTTTGTGGTGTTTTGTTTGTGCAGATGTTTGAGGTGGTATCATTAAATCTAGTTCATACTGTGCTCTGCTGCGCATTTCCTTATTCTGGATAACATCAGAAACTTCACTTGAAGTATTTTTGTCTGGCTCTAAAAGAGGAAAATAAATTGTGCTTTCTCTGCACAATCCAAGCATCGTAATTGTCTTTTTATGCTGCTGGTGGAAATGGGAAATGTCATTGTGCAGACTGCAGACTAATTAAAACTGTGCACAGCAGGGTGAATGGAACAGTGTGGCGTCCAAACGGAGGCTGGTCTTTATATCAAAACACAAATAGATGATAGTAGATAAATGCAAATAGATATTGTGCAATTAGAAATTCTGCCTTAAGAGGAGATAAAAGTATATAGGTCCATAGATCCAAGGTTTTCAATCCCTCTTATCAATTTACTCCACATCAAATATTTGGTGATTTAAGTACCACAAGAACTAGACCAGGACTAAATCTGGACTGTAGCACTATGTAACTTTTCTGCTGGAGAGTCCATGGATGTGCTCTTGCTTTGCCTGGAATTTTAAAGTCTTGAAGTATTTATTAGAGGTGTTTTTACTTCTCAGTCTTACCAAGAAAAGCATTCAGCTTCACTGTATGCAGGGTCACCTCTCCACAGATCTGACCTGACCTTGGCCTTATGGCTTCACCTGCTTGTCTCTTGTCTTGTCATGGAGATAGATACTTTTAATGCCAAGCTGTGAGACATTCAAACCAATAGCATTTATACATATACACATACACAGACTCTGGCAGACTCTGCACTGGAAAAGTTACATAGTGCACCTTTTTAAATGAATGTGTAATTAATATGAAGAAAGATTAGAACTACAGAAAACCCTTCATACCACGAGAAGGAGCCTGTGCTGTGTGTACCACCAGATAAATGTACTGATTGTGTTGTTCCACTGTAGATCCCACTGTCCAAACAGCTGCTCCACAAACAGAGCCAGAGCTGAGGAGGAGGAGGTTAGAGGCTCTGGAAAAGATCGGCCAGCGTGACGAGGAAGAGGAGGCAGAGGAAGACTTTCAGCTTCCCCAGAGAGACGAGGACTCCGGCATCACTCTGAACAAGTGCATTCTGGGAGCTGTCATTCTGCTGGGCCTAGGCACTATTTTCATCTCAGGTAAGCAATGTCATGCATGTTTTTGAATCATGTTATATAGGGATGGGCGATATGTAATAAAAATAGTCCTTTTTTTTAATACTCATCGATCTTGATTTTCAATTTAATTCAATTATTTTCAAAAACAAAGTAAAAACAGCTTTCATTCTTGATTTCATGAACATAAATGTGATAGACTTTTAGCTAGTGCCATTTAACACAATGTAAAATTTCTTCCTCTGAAGTCTGAACTCTACTTCAAGTGCTTTTACTGACTGATGATTGGCTGTTGTAAATCCTTTGATTTAAAAAAAAAAATCCACCTAAGCTTATCAACTGACAATTAGACAAGACAAAATCTCAACCCCGAATTCATAAACTTGTTGCTGCAACACTGCAATTTCCCCATTGTGATACAAATAAAGGTGTATCTTATTTTAATGTGATGAATTGCCCAGCCCTATTTCGACATGTTGGTTTAGGGCTACTTTTTTCTATTGTACATTACTTTTCTGCAATTTAGAGTAAATGTTGGTGTCTGAGACTGAGGTGTACTGTACCTGCAGGTGTCTTCATGGACCTGGATGAGGGTAGGATTTCTGTTCCTAGACTAAGTCTTGCACATGACGGTGGGGTTGCTGTGGTTGCGGTTTGCATGTAAAAACATGATCTTGCTCAAGGTTTTGCTTGCTTGAATGCTCATTGTTGAATGGAAAACCTTGTTCCATCTATTCAGAACAACACCTTATATTAGTGTGATTAGTGATGCAATTCAACTGAAACCAGGGATGAACGATACAATGATGAAAATAGAGTCTTGATCTTATTCTTGTGATGATCTGCTATTTTGGTCATATCGTCAAATCTTCATTCTCTATTTAGTACAGCTGATTACTTAAAATCAGACACTTCCCCACCGATTTCTTGGTCAGCCTCTTTAAGATTGTGAGTGAGTGAAAGCTGGATTAACCAATCAGAGTGAAGTGTGAACTCCAAGCTTGCTATATTGCCCACCCAAACATGAAACTACTTCATGCTGAAAGGATACAGGGTTTTCAGAGATGTGGATACAATTTTAAATGGCCTTGTTTTCTGCAATGGCTTCTTTGCCATGATATTCAGATATCTGAATATATGTGCTTTTGGCGCCATAATTTCTATAGAACAGAAGAAGTTAAGAATTATGTCCCTTCTCTGCAGAAAGTGACTATCCTGCATCAGAGCTGAACGAGCCTGAGTCATCTGGAAAACAGGTCAGTAAGACTATTGTTTGCTCACTGTTATTGTAGCAACATATTGACACGTCAAGTTTATCTAAATACAAGCTGTAATAAATGACTTCTTGTGTCACAGGAGTGGCTTAACCCAGACTTATCTCGGCCTGATGCAGAAGCTGAGCTCTTAAACAAATTAACTAAAGGGAATGAGCAGATAGAAATGTTACAAGCCCAACTTCAGGTACTTCAGGTACATTCTCTCTCTTTAAGGGCCTGCACCTGATTTCAAACAATGAGTCAGACTGAAACATGTTTTAGTTTGAACTTTTGGCCCCACCCACTTAGTCTTTTATGCCAGTGTGATATTGCACCATCACACGGAAACTCAGGCAGTTGGGTTCCTGCGATTCTGTATAACAATGTTTCTTATTGAATGAAAAAGGGGACTCATAATACGCTGTCAAATGAACAGATTCTCTTGCACAGTATTAATTGTGTTCTTATTTAACAGCTTTTACCATGTAAGGTGTAACCCAGGTATTTTTCGGTCAGTCTCTAAATTACATTTTCACCCACGGCTCTTCTCAACTATCGCAAGATTTCGCACACGTATCGCACCCATAGAAGTTTAATAAATTCTGGAAGGTGAACCCAAGATGACATTGTATTATTTTCAGTGGCCTTTTCTCATTGGTGCATGGCCCAAAAATAATTTTCTCTTTCACATTTACTTTCTCAATATGGGCACCTCCTACTCGTGTGACGTCTATAACGTGCGCGGCGTGGAGTGTTTGGACCAATCAGCGCGAGAGCTGCTAGCGTTAGCACGAGACTAGGCCAAGTCTTACAAAGCTAACTTTTAGGCGCATTGAAGGTTTAAAAAATTTAAGAAGTTTATGTTGTGAAAATAGGAATGAATCCCTACAAAATCCGACCTTTGTGAAAGTTGTGGATGCCCTGTCAGCCGAACCCGGGCAGTTTGAATTCCCAGAATTGCATTACATTTCTATGGGAGAACTCTCTCTGGGAAGAGTGCAAGTATCTGCCGTTGCGGTAGGAGGCGTTGGAGCTGTTCAACCACACACACTCATGCACACCCACCTCCCCCTGCTGTGGGCACTGGGCACTTAATGAACCTTGCTGGACATTATCCACGCCTTTCATGCCTTTCACGTGACCCCTGTGGATATGAACTTTGTTGGTCCTTGTGCGCTCAGACTAAGAACTGTAACATGTTGATCTTGTTCATCAAGGTCTTTGAACAATGTCTCTGAAAGTGAAGAACTGTGAATAGTGTAAATAATGTCTGTTCACTGTAAATAACAACACAACTTAGCACTACAAGACCTGTGTTTTTGTCTCATTAAATACCCAATTTTCCTCTGAGCTGAACTATAATCTTCTGAACTAGCCTACTGCTACTGCTACTTCTACTGCTACTGCTAGTACTACTACTATTACTCCTATTGCTATTTCTGATTCATATTGCAGCATTATGCCTGCTACAAATGCATGATGTAAATTAAAATCAGGTACAGGCCCTTTTATGCTAATACATACAGAAAGTACCCTGGCCACATACCGAGTGAGTTTTCAGAAACAAATCCTTGTGGCTGTGTTTCTTTACAGTCTGAGAACGAGGAGCTAAAATTGACCAAGGCACAAGCAGCAGAGGGCAGCACTGAGCAACTTCACCACAACGAGATGCAGCAGGAAAACAGTAGGTTAAAGAAAAACCTGGAGAGTGTTCCTGAGCTTCAGAAAGAACTGGAGAAGATGAGAACAGAACTGCAGGCTCTGTCGATGCTGCAGAAAGAAGTAGAGAGTCTGAGGTCCACTTTGACACACATAAAGCTCTATTCAGGTAGGAGAGGTAGCAGGTAGTTTTTATGGACTAAACCAGTGTTTCTCAAACTGTGGGATGCGGCTGCCAGTGGTGGCGTGTGGGGCTTTCTGCAGTTTCTATTGGGGCAAAAGACAGATTTCCCTTTTTGAAAACATTATACATTGCCTTAAAATATCCATAAGGTGAATTCACAAATGTTGAACTTGATCATTTCTATTGACTAGACCCAAGAACTCTGCATTACAACATAAATCTGCACTTTAACAATATTAATTTTAGCTACTCCAAATCTGAATTAAATGTTATAGACCTAAAGCAGGGGTCTCCAACCTGTTGCTCGGGAGCTACCAGTAGCTCTCCACAACCTTCCAAGTAGCTCTCCAAGGGATTTCTGAATTATTTATAGGCGTCTAACTGTACTCAATCTAAGGCTTTCTGTGGGGCTTAAATGTTCTAAAGTTCTTGCAAACACTAAAATGAGTTTGTTTGGTAAAAGTAGCTCACTGGAAAAAGGTTGGAGACCCCTGACCTAAAGCATATGATGTCCCTGAAACCCAGCAATTTAGAATTATTTGTTGTCTTCCTGGATTAATAATTATTTTGAATTGCCCAACTGCAAAGCCTAATATAAGACCAGGCCTCGAATCAAAGTCTGATGTGGTCCGGATTTAGATCTGGTGGTACTCAGAAGTCAAATATTACCTTGGTTTGTCCTTGGTTAGAAAAGTTTGAGAACCACTGCACTAGACCGTAGGTAATGATGGTAGTGTAGTAACCATTTTATTAACAGTATCGACTTACTTTAAAGGTGCATGGTGTAACTTTTCTGGTGGAGGGACTAACACCTGCTTATATTTTGAAAATATTATTGCTTTGCCTAGAATGTTCTACACTATGGTCTAAACTTCCCAAACATGCATTGCGTCATCTCCCTATCATCTCCATGGAGAATAGAAGGTTTGAGACCCTCCACCGGAAAAGTAACATAGATCCCAGAGAGATTATGTTTTCTCGCCATGACTATCGATGCATATTTTAATGGCTTCCAAAAACTCTAAATGATATCGAACGGTGAACGTTTAATTGGCAAATCATTAACAACTAATTCAAATATTAAACATTTCTATATGAGAGAAAACATGATATGCAACCTAACGACCTAATGATGAAGCATCTACTGTGTAAAAGTGTGTATTGAATTCCCTTTTTCTTTTAGCAGCTGCTACAACTCCCCCTAGTGGAGGAACAGAGAATGACAGTCAGAGCCCAGCAGACTATCAGGCATACAAGAAGAACAAGCACGACAGAGGTGTTGCAAAGGAGTGGAAAGATGAAGAAAAATCCGAATGGAAAAAAGAGAAAAAGCAACGCAAGGATGGAGGGAAGACAGACGGCAAAGAAAAAGAGTGGAAGAGAGAGAAATATGAGAGTGGTAGATTTGAAAAGCGATATAAGGAGGATAAGCACTCAAAGCAAAAAGATGAAGCAAAAGAGTGGAAAAAAGACAACTCAAAAAGAGGAGATGAAGGGAGGACCTGGAAGGAAAAGAAAGAGTGGACTAACGAAGGTGATAAAAAACACAAACGTGATCACTTTAAAGAAGGGAGGAGTAAAGAGGGAAGTAAAGAAAGCAAGTACTACCAAGAAACCCACAAAGGACCCGGAGACAAGCACTGGAAAAAGGGAAGAGATGATTATAAAGAAGAAAAGAAAGATAAGTACGAGAAAAAGCATTGGAAAGAGCGGGATGGATACGAAAGTCAAAACAGGAAAGATGACGGGGACAGGAGAGACAAAAGCAAAGACCAGAAAAAGTGGAAATCCAATGACAAAAAACAGTGGAGGAACGAAGAGGAGGAGAGGAAAGGGGTAGGGTATAAAGAGAAAAAGCATAAAAAAGAAAGGGAGGATGGTAAATCTGAGAAATATAATAAATATAAAGGCAGTGAGCATAAGGATCAGGCATGGAGCGATAAGAAATCTACCCCTCCGCAACCCAAAGTCAAAGTGGGACAGCCCGAATACTGGTCCCGTCAAAGAGAGCGCCTCCAACACAGCTCAAAACCTCAAGACCCCTGCGATTCACCAGACACCTGCGCCCAAGCCGAGGGGGTGCAGCCAGTTCCTCTCTCGGAATTTGAATCTATCCTAAACGATTACTTGTCCAAAGCGGAAAAGGCAGGAGTGGAGGCCTCGCAAATCGCTGAGCTCCGAAAACTAGCCACGGAAATGTTTCAGAACGGCGCCTTTCCGCACGATCAGATGAGTTTTCTGGAGTACGTGGAGGACGTGGGGGATATGTTGGAAGATCTAGTTGAAGGAGAAGATGAAGAAGACGGCAGTGGAAAGAAGGATAGTGCCATAGAGGATGAGATGGAGGGATTTGAGAAGGAGGTGATGCAGAAGTTTACGCTGCCAGGCGAGAAGGAAAAAGTTAAAGCAGAGTCTATGAAGGAAAGTGAGAGAGGACGTGGCTGAAAAATACACTGCAAAAAATGATTATCTAGTAAGAAAATGACTAAAATGACTTAAATTCTCAATAGTAAGTAGTTAAGTAGATGTAAAGGCACACTATGTAACTTTTCTGGTGGTAAATAATAAATAATAAAATAAAAATACAAGTTTGATCTGTGGAGACGTTACCTTGCTCACAATGACAGTGTTTTTTCAAGGTATTTCTGAGCGATTTAAATTTGTGTGATTGTATAAATGCTAACTGGATACGTTTAAAGCTGTACTGTGCAACATTTCAAGTATAGCACGAACATCTCCAGGGAGACAAGTGGTTGAACTGTCTCCAGCAGAAAAGTTACACTGTGCGTCTTTTAAATATATTAATGTAAGACCTAAACCTAGAATCTGCAATTCCTAGCGTAAAATAAGAAATTAATAAAGGTAAGGGCAATTGTCTTTCCCCTTTGGCAATTATGTTAACTTAAAATAAGAAAAAAATGTATTAAATCACGATTTAGGTAAATAAATCTTAACTTGTCGGTATGAAATATGTACCTCAAGTCATTTTAACTTCTGGTAGATAATCATTTTTGCATTGAAGGAAGTGAGCAGTCTGGTGCAGGAAGCAGAGCGGGGCCTGACAGAGGAGAGGTGATTCAAAAGGGAACACTTAATAATGGACCATGAATGCCACAAACACGTTCACAGGATGACCTCTTTATTTTACCTCTTCCTGCTGCACTAGTGTCGTGTCATTTCTGTTTTTTCTACGTGGAAAGTTAACTGCATACCAACCAAGGCTGAACAAATCATGGACAACACGCCATAACTAATTTTTTTTCCTGATGAAGTGTTATGATTGCATTAATAATTTGTGTTTTAAAATCAATATTCAGTTCAGTGTACACTTTAAACACATCTAGGCATTGACATTTGAGAAAAGACGGCAATATGGTCTGCTAAACTAATACAAGAATCTCATGCTTTTCTGAATATGTTCTAGAGGTCTAAACTACTGGGTTAGCAGATTTTATACATGTTGTTTTGTTGGCAATTTGCTTGTTCCTACCATTTCAAATGCAGTTTTGATTCAATTATGATTATTGCTGCAGCCCTAATACAGAAACATTAACAATAGAAAATGTTCTTTCCCTCATTTGGGTATTTATTTTTGGTGCACACATCTGCAAAGTATAAATTTCCTGTTTCTATATTTCTGTACCTGTTTCACATGGTTCTTTTTTCTCTAAGCTAATTCTCAGTTCTCACATTGTTCAGCTGCTGTTAAGCTGATGGTTAAGATGCAATGGCCTCACTGTAACACCTTTTGTTGTATCACCACTTTCCATTTAAAGATGCACTATGTAACTTGTCTGTGGAGCGTACACACCCTGTTGGTCTCTGGGGAGATATTAATGCTTTGCCAGGAATATTCCACTGTATGGCATTAAATTATCTTGCATTTGTTCAGTTGTAGATGTTTTATACGCTAGCAAATGTCTTCAAATGCCGTGAGCAGGATGCCGTTCTCTAGATCTGATCTGCCTGGTGGTGTCAGGTTAATGCCATACTGTGGAACATTACAGGCAACACAAGGGGACAAGCAGGTAGCGGACTCTCCAACGTAAATGTTACGAGTATACCTTTAAGAGGATATTATAATATATTATATAATAATAAAATAATTATTTTTTGTTTTGTAAATATGGCTTAAGACCGTGACTGTGCTAACTTGTTCTGTTTAACTTATTTGTAGACGTTATTGCACCTTAAACAGGTCTACTTAAAAGAGCACATAATAATAACATGTTGAGCATGTACAGGTTTTCAGGTACAGAATGTATAGTGTGCACTAAAATGTCTTTAATTTCATATGGAGTCTTTTGTTGGATAGTTCACTGTTTTTGCTTGTTTTGGGTTTACAGTTGAAAATTACAAATGTGAGGAACCACATACGTACGGCAGCATAAAAATGTATTTGTTAGACATTTGAACAACGGTGTTAATAAATGTGAAGAGATGAACTTTGTCACCTTGAATTTTTTTATAAGTCAACTCATTTTCTATTTACATTAGTCAGACAATAGTCAGAGGAGGGGTACAGGTAAAGACAAATACACTTGTAACGCCAATCAGAATATACTGCTATAGTAGAATAACCTTCATCTTTATAGTCTTGCATTAAAATAGTACTTGGAATTGAATTAGAACTGAATGGGAAAACTGGAGCCGAGCCAATCATAATTGGTCCAACCTTATTGCTCCAGGCAAATTCACATAGAAACAATGACGCTACAATGTTATACTAACATTCAAATAAGATTACAGAAGCTCTTTGAATCTGTATTTTAAATTAGGAAAAACATGGAATAACCCTGGATTAATAACCTATTTTGTCTTTTTTTTTTTTTTTTTTTTTTTTTTACAATGCCCCAGAAAAATGTAACCAGATGTATTTGAAGTCCTTAAGCTGCTCAAATGAAATGAGTCAGATTCTCCAATAGTAAGTTACTAGTCTAAGATTTAATCCACTAATTTACTTTCTTTTTCAAAGTAATTACATGTTTGGCCTGTAATTGACTAAAATGTACACCTTTAACAAATTAAATTCATTTAGTTTGAGCTGGGCTAGAATTAAAAAAGGACATAAAAGTATCAGACGCACCCTGTGGCTTTGAACGAGTGGTACAAATAAGATAAGAGTGTGCAACTGTCATTATTATTGAGCCAAGACAAATGTAATTAACCTCCATGCATGACATTTGCAGAGGTCAAACACAGGAACTATTAACTATGGCTGATGAAAGGCTTGTTAAAGACAGAGTGGAATCTCATCATGGAAAATGTGGTGGAAACATCAGTTATTGTATTACTGACTACAACAGCCTCCAGGAAAGACAATGCGTACATTGTCAGAAATAAGTCAATCATTGCTTCAAAGCAGACTACAAAAAGACCACAAAGTCTGTTCCCAAAACACATTGTAGGTTCACTTCTAATTTGGTGCCACTCAGACAGAGATGGAGGCTGCCATTGGAGAACTGGTGTCCAAGTTCAAAGTGTACGCCGGCAGTGACGGGTCGTCCAGCACTCTCAGCAGAGATGAGTTCCACAAACTGGTCACTGCTGAGCTTCCTAACTTAGTGGGGGTGAGTAAATGAATACACTTTATTATGTGTTCATATCTTGGGTGTCTACATTAATAACTACTAAAGGTGCACTTTGTGATGCCAGCTGCTGTTTACTAAGCCTCATTGTTAAACAGTCTGGCAATATTCAGTTTATTGCTCAAAAAACATGGCCAAAATACATTCTGGTAAAATATACAGCCTAGTGGTGTCACCTACTTGTCTCCATGGAGAAAGACAAGTTTAATGAAAAGTGTGTGTGTAACGTTCCAGGGAAAGCCATAACATAGCACTGAAAGCAAGCAGGCGAACCCTCCACCAGAAGAACTACATGGTGCACCTTTAAATTTCATAACCTAGTCCAAAACAATTCCTCTAACTTAATCTCTCAGTTTGTAAAACAAATCCATATCAATAAACCAACTGGACAGTGTTGTTGTTAAGCAGAAAATCCAACAAAAATATCTCATGTCAAAAAATAAAAAATAAATCTGTATTTTCACATGGAAATAGCCCCACTGAAATCCTGGTAACTCGGATCATCTGGTCACCACATTGCTCCATGCCAAGGGTAATTAAGTGTTAGTCATACCAGCCAAGACTGTGTTTACTTTGTGTTAATGTGGGCAGACTAGTTCTTTTGACCTAAACTGTTTCTCATGGTTCGCCAGAGAACGCAAGCAAAGTAAGTTGTATGTTTCAGCCCCCAGTGAGCAACAGAAAGAGCTGTTTACGGGGACAATTTGCTTAGTTTAATTATCCTCGTGAATCTATACGAAAAAAGTTGTGGAAATTTCCAGTCTTGCTTTCCTTAAAGTGTCCGCCAGATGGCAACAGAGCTTACAACTCTGTGCCAAACCACCATAGGGCTGAATGTGCAGGATTTTCTCTCCCTTTCCTACGCCCCTTGTGTCCTCCATTGAACCAAGTTAGTAGTCTGTAATTAATTATATTTTTATTCTTGTTTTAAAATACACGTTTCCTTTTTGTGCCCCACAGGACACTGACTCATCTGCCATAGACCAGCTTATGAAATCACTGGACGAGAACAACGATGGGCAACTTAACTTCTTGGAGTTCTGGCAGCTGATTGGACAGCTCGCCGACAAGCATGCCAAAGCCAACCAATAGCATTTACCTGTCTAACTATTGAGAGAGGTTCGTTTGCGCTTCTGACTAAATGGGAATAGTTCCAAATGTCTGCGTTAAGTACTCTCACTTTTTCCCAGCCTCAACTATTACGCACACTGTTACTGGATATTGTTCAAGTATTTCAGCAATATTGAAACCAGTTCGCCTGTTCTTTAGAGTACACTCATAGCCCCACATGCCTGTGCTCACAAGTCTGTAACAGCAGCAGTCTTTTCTCCTTGTTTTTTTGGAAAGTTTTGTGCAGCTTGGCACGTCTCCCCGCGCGCACAGACACCACTGCTGTGCACTCCTCTCGAGATACTTTCTGCCAAAGCAAGAAAATAAAGTGAAAACCTGTAATTTGTTTGTCAAACCATGGTCATTGCTTCATGTCTAAGGTTCTTATCTTTGCATTCTTTATACTAGTGAGTAAAGTTTTAGGGTGTGCCCTTACTGCATCATGTTAAAGAGATGTGAACACAAGTTTATACACGTTTACAGAAACATACCATACAAAAAGTAAACAAATACACAATTTACCACTTTCAAAGAATGTCATATTATTATAATAGTTGTTTAGCTTTATTTAGAAAAGTTTGCACAAAGCTGAATGTTTGTAACCATTTATTTGTCTGAAGCGCAGTTGCTCAAGCTGCGCCTCTGTGCGCATTCCTCCTCTCTAGGCACACGCCCTGTGACAATGAAAAAAAGTTGGCTTGAGTGAGTAGTTAAATCACGGAAAAGATATGTGTTGCTGGTTAATCTAGAGGAGGACTGAGGGAGGAGGATCCTGGACAGAAGCAGAAGCAGAAGAAGCCTAGATTCACACACAGTAAGTTTTACGCTTTGCTAATTCTCACTTTGTTGTTCCTTTTTGGGGCTGACTAGAAAACCATCCTATTCCAAGGCTGTCATGAATGTTGTATGCTCGGGGAGTGTGCGTATTGGTGGTCATGGGGATCAGGTTTTCCTTGTTGGTAATGCAACCCTGAGTCCTTTACACTTCCACAGAAACCCGAGACCCGCATCACGTTTACTTATTCATCCGCTGTGTGTTGGAGTGGTCCCAGGTCCCCCTACAAACTGTCAGGATTAGTTTGGGCTAAACGCGAATGTGGGCCACGGCGCGGGCGGGCAAGCCCCTGCGTCTTTTTATCTCACTGCGCGCTCCGCGTTTGGCAGAAGCGCCGCGGCCCGTTATCGCGAGGCAAACTCAAGGCAGTTGGTCAGCTCTTATCAGGCTGAATTATTCACGCCATGTCATGATAAGACTGTGGCGGAACAGAGAAAAGGGCTTCAGTCTGTGAGGGGGAGAACCAGTGACCAGGCCGATGACAGGTAACATGTCCGCGGAGGAAGTGAGTCAGTCACGCCTCGTACAAACAACAGGCAGGGTGGAGTCCTGGCACAGCTGCTATCATCTGAGACGGGCTGGATAAGACATTATACCGTAGCAGGGCAGAGGGGGCACCCCCCAAAACTCTGAGAACAGTGTCGTCATGCGCTTGTTGTCCTAAGGTGGGGTTACCCAGCCTGATTTACCTGTACTCGCTGGTGCACGTCTCATGGCCTCAGACCAAGTCGATGCAAACGCACCATCCCCTCAGCAGTTTCTGACCAGCTGGAGAAGCTCCTGCTTTTGCATAACTATGTGCTGCACGCGCTCTGACGGCAAATGTTACTGTCACCTTTAACCCGTGGAATCGCTGGCTTTTTCAGTCCATGCTATAGGCTATAGTCTTTAGTTTATTTATTTTTACTAGAGCTTGAATCATGATGGGAGAATTAAAAGAATGAATGATAGCTTTGGCTACATAACTTTTTTTCTTTATATAATAAAGCTACTTCCGTGGCGGGCTGCGGATTCCAAAGTGAATGTGACAATAACAGATAAGCATGATGTGAGGTCATGTGCTGCTATAAATGCCAGTGATAAATGCCACAAACTCTCCAAAAACTCAGTCTGAAGAGCCTCTTTGTTAGCGAACATTCTTTACAAACATGCGCACAAGTGAGCGGTGTTCCTGGAGTCCTCACGATGTGTTGAAATGGGCGACTGCTGGGGCTTAGTACTGGTTTTGTTGTGGCCTATTACACAAAACTATTGGTCAAAGCTCTCATACAGGTATTCTATGTGCATTATTGGGGCGTTATGAACAACTGTTTGGAGAGCTTAGCATTGGCATTAGGGGCTTAACATAACGTGTATGAAATATTTCAGCACTGGTTCTATGCATACAAAACACCCGAGTTGCCAACAGAGGGCGCACAAACTTGCTCTTAATTGTTGCTCTGAGGCCTGAAGTAGGTTAAATGAGGTTGAAAACAATAGCTGCTTTCACTGAAGTTGGTAAAATGTGTGCATGGAATAATAATAAGATAATTAATTCATATTACAGATCCACTTGTGGGTATTGGTGATTTGAATACGTCTGACTTCAGTGGGTGGAATAAAGGGTTTGAGGTTTATTCCTGGAGACAGACGTTAAAGGGGAAATTACATTATGTTAATTTTGTAAGAGCTGTTAAAACCAGTAGAGAAGCTGGATTAAACATGCTTTATACCAGTGTGCACAAGCTTGGACTGAGTCACTGAACTGATCATTATTAGGCCCAGGCAAGTCTTATTTGTTCAGAGACAAAGGTATGTTTACTGAACATTTATGAGAGAAAACACTAGTGTATGTGTCTTTTTTTAGTATTTCACATTAAGTACTAAATTAAACATTGGTATCTTCTTGAAATATATTAAAACCAGATTATAGAGGAAGATGCACACTGCAGAGTTTTACCGTCCAAATTGCCCTGTACAGACACTGGTCTCTTGTTCAGTTCATATTAAATATAATTGAAGGACTGTGAACTACTGTTAGGCCTGTCACAGTAACAATTTCCATGTGCGACATATTTATTTAAAAAAAAAATCATGATGATAAAGAATAAGGTTGAAGACCACTTTATGCAGTGACTCTATAATCCTATGAAGTATGATCTTTCTAGTAAACTCTTTTTCATAAAACACCATGTCCTCAGTAAAGGATTCACTGTAAATAAATAACAGAAGTCAGAATCAAAAGTAGTTAGTTTGTGTCCACTATGAGTCAAAGATGTTAAAGATGTTCTATGTAATTTTCAAGTGGAGAGTCGCTTTGCCGAATGCTCGAATGTTCCACAATGTCACATTCATTTTAATTTATTTAATCACAGATGCATGTTTCTACTGGCCTAAAATACCTTGAGTTACATGCATTCTTACTGTGAGTGGGCTGGTGATGACATAGATAACATTAATGCCATACTGTGAAACATTCCAGGCAAAGCAGTAACCTCCATGGAGACAATTAAGACTCCCTACAACAAAAGTTACGTGGTCCTTCTTTATTTATCTGAATTGCCCATTAGTGCAAAGAATAGGTAGGTACATAATATAGTAACCCCCCAAAAAACATGATTCACCATTTATTGAGCAATAAGTCAATATAATAATTACTGTCACAGATGTAGAACTAGAATGTTACAACTTCCACTACCACAGTGAATGCTTATAGTCATCTTTTTCTGTAGCTAGTGTCACCTCTGTTGTAGATCGGTGCCTAGTTACACTCGTGTTCATCTCATTACGCGGGCTGGAGGACACTAATGGATGGTGGTCTGTCAGGAGCTCTGACAGATAGTCCCTTATCTCTGCATACACGGTGAATGGGGACACGGGGCCTTGCTTATGTTGTGTATGCAGAAGGTGGCCTGGGTAGGTGTCAAGACAATTATAGCAACCTTTTAAATAATGATGAAGAGCTAGCATATGATGACAGATGATCACTCTAATGTGTGTGTAGGGGTGTGTGTGTGTGTGTGTTTGTGTGTGTGTGTGATGCCATGAAATCCAATCTGTCCGTTTTTGGGTGCCTGACCAGTAGCGTGTCCTGCTCTCTCGCCCTGTAATTAGGTTAATGCAGCAGAGCCCTAATTGGTGTTGTTGTCCTGCTTTGGTTATCAGCTTGTCTCTGTCTGTCTGTTTTGCCCTTTGTTAGTCGGCCATGTTGAAGGCGTGGCGTCAGATGGGACATTTACAGGGGTGTACGATTACCTCAATAACATGACCCCCAGCACCCATTACCATCATTAGCTGCATTTTCCAATACTCACTGGAAATCAGTCAGCACGCATTTTGTAAGACGCCTCACCCTGCGGTGCTACGTTGCTAATGAGTGATGATAGTTAATCAATGGATCTTCATTGTGGAGTTTTCCGAGAGCTGTCGTCTCGGAATTCTGCTCCCCTGAAGAAAATACCTCACAGGTAACGTCAGGTAGAGGATGTCAGTGTGTGCAAACAAGCGTGAAACCAACACTGTCCACTACTACCTGCACAATGTAAAGAACTCTTTCAAAACCTGGGAAGAAGTAACATTACAACATTCTTATATCATGGCCAAGCTGCATTATTTGGCTGATGCAACTGGTTGTCCTGCAAAAATGAGCAGTTACATTTTCAAAAAGCATCTATAAAGGTCAAGAACATACACAGTCTCATCAAAACTAATTGTATCTTGGGACCAGAATTGCATGCTTCTTATCCCTGCTTTAGATGTATATGGGATTGAAGTAATACTCACTTAAAATCCTTGTGTGTGAGCTGATAGACAGACAAGGTCAAACAGATGCTCTGCGTGGGCTTCAGTGACATCATCATTACTTCCTGATTTGAGAACCCATTTTGCTTTGAAATTCTTAATTGCTATGGCAACAGTCCTAGGCACCTGCTCTATGGACTGAGCCACTTCATCGTGCTGCAGCTTTATACGCATTCAGGCCTGTATGGTGTGCTGCTGCTTTACCCTGCCTTCAAATATCCCCAGAATGAAATGTAGTTATGTAAGTATTCAGTTACTCAGTAATAATATTTCTCTGCATTCCTTTGTGAACTGCAAATATCTGCACCCATTCCAGGGAATTGTTTTGTCTTGCAAACTTAAAAAAAAAAAAAAAAAAAAACAAGAAACAAGAAACACATGACACAATAAGTTTTCTCCATGTCTAATGTTTACGTTCTATTTGATCCGTGGTGTTTCTCCTGAGGTAGATGTGGTGCTTGTTTGTTTGTTGTGATGTGATGTAGGGTGTAGCATACGGCAGGCTGCAGTAACATGACCTCAGGGCCTCCTGCTGCTCCTCAGGATCAGATCTCCATCGTCAAAGATCACAGCTACCAAAGCATCTATAGACTGTCCACTGTCCATTGACCTCAGAGCGCCTCCTTATCTCACTGCATCTCAAATCACATGCTTTTTATTCACTTTATCAAGATCTGAACAACGATGTTTTTATTATGTCGTTCATCCATCTTCATCAATGAAAGCCTGTTTCCGCTTGGTTCATGGCCCCAGGCAGCTGGAACGTATTCCAGAAACAAGGGCAAAATGTGGTCACAAAGACTTTAGAGGCTTCAAAATTCAGATTTAAATCTTTATAGAATTGAATGGTGGTAGAAAGAATCAACTGATTTAAACTAAAACTACATGAGATGCATTTACAAAGAGCAATCTTGACACAGTTTCATGTTCTTAATATCATGCAGAGTATTTGTTTGTCTTGGCTATATTTCTCACACTCTTTGTTTATTTTCTGTAGAAATGGAGAGTGCCTTACAGACGGTCGTCATGTCCTACATCAAGGCATGTAAAGGGAAGGAAAACCTGGACTCCAGCTCCTTCAAGAAACTCGTGAGCAAGCAGCTGGGAGGCATCATGGAGGTGTGTACCTGCAGTACTTTTTTGTACCTGTAGTGTCCTATAATAATGATGATTAGGGATGGAACTAGATCTCGTGCAAAATTGCTTGTTTCTACATTTTGTTTAGACAAAAAGGATTAAGAGGTGGTGAGTTACATCTCTTATAGAACTGAATCACACAATTTATATATTAGAAATTGTCCCAACTCCATAATTATGTTGAGTACAGAGCCATGTTTAACCTCTTGTATTTTTGTTCAGGATGCTGACAGCTCCTCTGCGGTCAAAGAGATGCAGAAAGGACTAGACGAAAACAGCGATGGAAAAGTCAGCTTCTCGGAATACTTAAATCTGATTGGCTACTTGGCCAAATCCTTGAGCCAGAAGCAGTGTGGCACCACTGAAGCAGCTTCGTAGATTCCTCTAAACTGGAAGCTCGTCTCGTCATGGGCTTTATCAAGATCTAGTAACATATCTTCTCTATATGTGCCATTAATCTCATCATCATAGTATGCAAATTACTCAGTCATCTCATTTTTATATCTTGTCCCCACTGATGGAGCTCTGAAACAAACCATATATAACCACTCAAGTCACACTAGAAAAGGCTGTCAAGGATTGAAGGACTCTGAGTTGTGTGTAGGCTTTATTAGATGCAAAGAAGATTGTATTTTCAAAACAATAAATACTTTATATGAAAACAGCACTGCCTCGTCTTTATTTGCATATTCATTTGACATACTCCAGCCCATGGACTATTCTGTGCGCCGCTATGGAACCTGTCCTCCATTGTGACCAGCCTCCTATAGTGAACTAAATATAGCTTTGACACCCCTGACTGGTCAAACTCTGCAGCATCAGCTATTGAAATGTGAGCCTGACATACTGTATGCGCTTCCCTTTGTGCGGTGTTCTCCTCTGTGCAACATTAGACACAAACACTCCCATCGGCCGCTCCCTCCACCACAGCTAATCACACATAGAATAACATAGGCTCATCTGATGTACATGTTGTGTCCATTCACACATGACTGCGCAGAACATCCATTCAAATGCACTATATGTTTTATGTGTCACTGTTCTGCTTTGACCGCTTTCTGTCTGTCTTCTGTCCCTACCCCCTACATCACTGTCACCATGTCCAACCTCATGTTCTATGGGCGAAGGATGGATTTAGTTGGAGTAAAAAGGTAAAATATTCATTCCCCGTATACATTTACTCCATGTTCAGCAGTGTGTCCATACAATGAGATCCGCTGACACAACTCATGAATATAGTCTATATATATATGACAAGGTTATTCCACCCATATTTCTTCGTGATGGCAGGAACAGATTCTATTATGTCAGTGCCAAAACTCATCATAATCACATTGGTTAGGATAGTCTTTACTGCAGGGAATTTCATCCTCTGCATTTAACCCACATTTCAATGCCACTGGGAAAACACACCAGGAGCAGTGAGCAGTAGGGATGTAACGATCAAAATCATCAAAATCCCTCGATATGACATTTTCACGATGTGCATGTCATGGTTCGATTGCAATGTTCATTGCAATATTTTGTAGAGGTTTACAAAATTGTGAATATGTTACTTTTCCTTTTAAAAGCCTTTGGTACTGTGAAGAATTAAGATTTAAATGTGCTTAATGAAGTTATTTCTTCATGTAGTCTGCACTGACAACACCAAAGCATCATGGTCTATGTAGTTCTCTGTTTTTTAGTTACTGCACCATGGCAAGGCAAAACAAAGTAATTCAAAGTGCTTTACAGAATAAGAAAGACACTAAAATCACAAAGAAAGACATTACAATCACCATGACTATTCATTTAAGCGAAGAGACTTGTAATTCAATATATTGTGATGGCCTCCCATATTATTGTGAGAACTTTTAATGATACAATATCATGACATTTCGGTTATTGTTACATCCCTAGTGAGCAGCTTCAGTAAAACTCATGGGTGGACCAACACTTGAGCTGTGCTTGTTAGAAATATAGGGCTTGTTTTGGGTTGATGAGAGAAAACAAAAAAAAAAGTGTCTGGAGGAGAGTTACCCAGAGGAGAAACATGAAAAGTTGATGCAGAAAGAAAAAAGGCCCCACACCACTCAGAAGTTGAAACCTGGTCATTCTTGCTTCTTGAGACGAGAATGCAATCCACCCAGTCACAATTATTGAGGAGTTTGAGAAGCATAAGAAATAATTTTCACACATGGGTTAGCTGCAACAGAGTAGACAGTGATCTATATCCCAGAAAAGTTCTTATTAGGATTTGGGTCCACAGAATTGCCCCATTAAATATGTTTGGTAAAGGCTTTTGAACTGACAACAATTTTGCCTGTGTTTGAATCACTGTTTAACATATATCATCATATTTTTGCAGACAAAGATTTATATTAACTTTGGTTTCTTTGAGGGTAGGCCAGGGGATCATCATACATCGGATCATACATACATCATCTGCATCTACTGTTAAGAAACAAGCTACTTCTATCAGCAAATTCTGCCCTCCAACTAGTGTTAAATTTTAGACTCTTTAAAATGTTGTCTTGTCACATGATGTAGCCAAGTTATCAGCTGACCTCTTGCTTTGGCCACATAACTTTGCTGAACATGTGATTTACAAAGGAATAATCGTATATTTTGCTTTTTCTCAGTTAAATAAAACGCTATGAAGTATTAATGTGAAGTGCATAGACTTTGGTGTTACTATGCGTTTGTTTGGGATTTCCTTTGCAGGGTTGCCAGGTGTGGTGTGTCTATCCTCTGGAGTTATTCGGCTACAGTGTCAAAGGGTTTCTTCTTCCAAAATCCCCTGCAGCTGACAAGGCACCTTACACCTTCCATAATAAACAAGACATCCCACTGTAATATGACTGTTTTAAATGCAATGACTAGAGGACAGTAGTTAAAATGACACATGGTCTATCAGAAACAAAAAGAAAAAAACTGAAGAAAATTATGTTCAAATGCACTTCTTTTTTCACATTTTTTCTGCGTGTCTTGAGTTGAAGTACCTTCTTATCTAGTGAATGGCATGGTTCTTGCATGAAAACAACTTTGCAACACAACTTTTACCCCCATCTAGGTGTTATAACTATTGATGCACCAATACAAATACTGGTGCATCAAATATCGGTTCATATCTAGGAAAATAGTATTGGGTACTGGCTCCATGATATTGGTTTGGGCGATATCCTGGTTGGACTCATTACGGACTGATAAACTTAAATCATACGAAGCAGTTCAGTTACTTGCAGGATACATAACAGTTACATAACACAATCGAATCAGTTTAGAAATAAGGTAACTGTATTTTGAAAGAAAAAAAATCCTGCACTTACTATCAGATATTGGCAGCTACTTAAAGCCTTATAAAATTGATATTGGTATCGGAATTGAAAAACCTGGATCGGTGGATTTAACCTACAGGTAGATTTGGGACAAAAAACAGGAATATTGTTTTTTAAATCCATTTATTATTATGTATTTCTTAACCAGTTTGTTCATTTTTTATTGAATAATATTATTCATTGTGAACATTTGTCGTATTAACTGATTATCACGTGACTGTGTGTGGACTGGACAGTGGATCTTTATGGCTGTCTGTGCTGTCACCTGAGTGCCACCAGACCATTTAGAGTTGAGTTTCGGACAGATTATGGGTTTTTCAATTTACTTAATGCCTCTTCTGTATTTTCAGTGCCATTAACGTTTTGACCATTATGTCATCTCTGCAGGACAACAGCAGGATCCCAGCACAGATAGCAGGTGTCTGGTGTGTAAGCAGAGAAGCTGTGGATGGGGACACAGTGATGAGGGGGAGGAGGGGGACGGGGGTGAGAAGGGGGAGAGGGGGGCAGCAGGTGTGAGGAGGCGGTTCAGGTGGGATGGGAGGAGTGAAGGGGTATTTAAGACATGTCCCAGCTCTGGACCAGCATCAGTTGCGTTTCCTCTCTCTCTGCAGCTTTGACCACAAGGCCAGCACTCACCCATCTCTCAGGTAAGAAGAGTTTGTGTAAAAATGTGTGACTTTTTCAGATTCTTTAATAATACTTGTGTGGTGTAGATGTTTGAAAGTGTGGCCACTGGGTGAATGTACAACAGCTGACACTTCCGTCCTGTCTCTGTAAACATCCAGAAGAAGGACAGTGTTAAATGTGAGTGACAGTTGAGGAGTCCTCACAGTTCAGAGGTGGAGGCTGGACAAGCATTTAGAGTTTTCTCTGCTTGTTTCAGCTGGAGCAGCTTCACTTTAGTACTATCACATTGCTTAGACTTCGAGTCTCACCTGACGCTGGCTCACATGTCCAGCCCCTGACCATGTGCTCTCCCAGAGCTCCTGTCTCTGGAGCCAACAAACACATGAGCATTACATTACATTATATGTGCACACATCTCAGGCTCTGACCAGGAGAAAACACTGAGGCTAACTAAAAATCACACTCAGTTTTCCATCACGCACAAACTGGACATGTTCCAACACCAGTGTATACATTTACATGTGCTGCTCAATACAGGGTTGTTAGATATTCTAAGATCAATAGGATGTGTAAATGTCTGTTCCACTGTCAGTTGTCTAATGTCGCTCTCTTCTCTCTCAGAATGTCTTTGCCTAACCTTGAGAATGCCTCCACCCTGGAGAGCGCCATGCAGCTCATGATCCAGACCTTCCACAAATACTCTGGAAATGAAGGAGACAAATACACACTGAGCCGAGCTGAGCTCAAAGAGCTGCTCACCACAGAGCTGGGCAACTACCTGGGGGTAAGGAGCAGCACCACCAGCACCATAACTATGACCTGTAAAATAGTAATGCTAATGTGAAATGTGTCTATACAGAACGCCCAGGACAAAGAGGCAGTGGACAAAGTCATGGGAGACCTGGACTCCAACAACGATGGAGAGGTAGACTTCACCGAGTTCATCATCCTGGTCGGAGCACTCACTGTGGCCTGCAATGACTTCTTCTTAGAATACAACGAAAAGGACCAGAAGAAGAAGTGAGGAGGCCCAGAGGAACATGCCCACCACTCTGCAAAGCATAAGCTCCAGGGAGGGATAGTGTGAGGGAGAGGGAGAGCCAGGGGTGGTGAGGGAGAGTGCAGTGGGTGGTGACCAGAGGACTCCTTCTGTGGCTCACACAAACACACACACATGCACCAGCTGTAGATGTGCATGTGCGTGTGTGGGTTTGTGCCCCAGCGTCATGTAGTATTTACCACCTGCACGCCACAACCTGGAGAATGCTGTCACTGTCACGTGTGTGCATATCTCTCTTGTTGTTTTGTGTCTTTTGTAACACTTTCAAATGTAGAACTCCCTGGAAAGAATAAATGTGATCTATACTCAAATTACAAGGCCGTTGGTTTTCATTTACACAGTAGAGAATTGAATTGCTTCCAAATAACCACCAGAGGGCAGCACAAGACCCTCTTTACATTGACCGAGGCTATGTAGGCTATAATCGCCCTCTTAATTTGAAACTATAACGTGAAGAAAATAATTAAAATGTACTTTTTTAGTTTAAGAACGTTCTCAAATGGGTAGGGAATGTTATATGGCTTTCCTGGCTTAAAACAATGGCGAGCATTACGTTGACCTTGGAAAAACCCATTACTGTTAAAAAAAAAAAAAAACTGCGGATACTTTATGTACACAAAAGGAAGTTCCTATTAGAATGACAGGAAATATATCTTTCACCACTCCTAGTATAGTATAAAAACATAGCCACCAACACACTGCTTGCTTCGTCTGTACCTACAACCTTTATTTGACTGATTGCGGTGTGCACAGGAGCAGATCTGAGGTGAAAAAAAGGGGTGGGGGTTAATGCGCGTGGGAGCAAGAGAGGAGAGGGACAGCGAGTGGAGACGTCATAGAGAGAAAGTAGTCCGATAATGTCCGTGTGCAGTGTATCATAGTCTCTCTTATATAGGCTTTTCACACTGTATTGGGGATCCTCTGGGTAATCCCGTTCTCCAGACAGCTTCTAGTCCGAGATGAACTTGGCCACGTGACTATTAATTGACGTGGAGACGCACGCGGAGTGACAGTGACAAGGGATTTAAACAGCGATCCGTCATAGTGGCCTCTTCAGACATGACGTCCATTCATATTCGGACATATTTCGCATCCAGTCTGCGCTGTCCGTATAATATTGTGCTCTGGCAGCGTTTCCCATAGTCCCACAGCTGTGATTTTGAACCACAAGTTTTGTTTTTATTGCCTTATGAGTGTGACCCTTACTCCATCCTCTGACATCCAAAAAGTTATCAATAACAGATGGTAAAACAGGAAATCTTGACTAAAGTACAAACCAAGCATCAGCCATTGTGGGCGCCGAGTTTATGAGAATAGGTGGACAAAATGTTGTGTATTTGCCCATGGAAGACCTAGAGTGATTGAGAGAGGTTTTAACGAGGCTGACGCATATGTTCTCTGTATCTGTCGGATGCGTAATGAGAGATGCGTCATGCGTAATGGGGGCATAGGCCACAAACGTATCTTACATACACGTTGATACATAAACCGCACTTGGCAGGACATGAATGAACAAACCAGAATTAAAAAGACAACACAAGACAAAGGCAGAGGAGTGAGGGTTAGTACAGTAGAAAAAGTGACACAGAGTACACCCTTAAAGGCGCACGATGTAACTTTTGTGATGGAGGGTCCACCACCTGCTTGTCCCCATGGAGCTTCTTACTGTTTATTTGGCATTAAGGGCCTGTTTACATGAGAAGACTTGCAGGTAAAAATGACAAAATATTTTATAGGAAGTGTCTTTCATTTAGACAGTGACGGCATTTTGGGGGCTTAAAAATGCAAAAATCCTAAACCACCCACCAAAGTGGAAAAGTTGAATACACTCTGCAGTTGTGATTTCGTCTACACTGCCCAAGACGCAAAACTCTGGTCAGATCTGCTCATGCGCGTATGTGTTTACGTCACATACATACAGTACACAGAAACAAACATGTCAGATCATTTCCATGCGTCAGACCTTCAAGCTGCTCTGGCAGCTCTAATAAACTTACAGGAGGCATCTCAACAAATGTACAGAATATGCAGAGATGCTATAAGTGAACAGAGAAGCATCTGTAATGACCTCTGTCAAATTCTGGATGCACCAGTTCATCACAGGCAAGCCAGACGGCTATGAACAACACCTGGGAGAATGAGCCGGTGTGGGACAACTTTGTGGGAGGAGTAGCTGAAGAAAATGCGTGGCATGAAAACGTCCTTATGTCCAAAGATGCCCTTGTTGCTTTAAGTACGTGCATACCCAAATAGAATTCCACACACTTTTGGGTCACTGTATGCGCGCAGATTTCCTCCCAAAAACATCATCTAAACGCAGAATAAAAAGTGAAGACGTGCCGCCATTTTTGCGTCTTCTGTTCAGACCGTCATCATTTAAACATAGCCTAAACCTAAATAGTTCCATGAAGACCAACAAGTTACAGATCCCATCTGTGGACAAGTGACCCACTCACGGTAAGAATGCATGTTTTCCAAGGCATTTTAGAGCAATAATGTGTAGTTGAATACATGCAAAATAGATAATGTTATACTCTGGAACATATCAGGCAAAGGAATAACATCCATGGAGACAAGCAGGTAGCGGACACTTCACCAGAAAAGCTGCATAATACATCTTTAAATCGCAAACTGGCATTTCTCATAGACTATATTTCCCGGTATTTGCCCAACTTTCCGATCTGTCGTACTGTAGGATGGTCTGTCAGCCATGATGCCTCTAAGCTGACCCCATCGCAGCTGTGCTCTCCTGTACTGCTCTACATATGTGCAAAACTGTCTAAAGAGAAAGCTACCCATGCATATTCTATCCTTTCAGCTAATAACACAACCTGCTTCATTCTTGCATATGCATATTATTATTTGATATATTTATTTTTATCACCTGCTACCTGGCCTCACTAGAAAGTATGTGAGCAATATCACATTCAGTTTAGGCAAATCAGATCACAGCCTTTCTTTCAGTAAAAAATAATTGCATGAGATTTGTATTAATAGTTTTGTGTGTGGTAATTGACTATGCTATGATAAACTATTTGATTGTGGAAGAAAAAGTTAAATCTATCTGAAGATGTGAACGCCCCTTCCCTTTCTGAAAAGCTGATTTTAACTTTGATTTAAACAATGTGTGTATACAGGCAATGTTAGGCAGAACAAGTTGGCTGGCATTATAGGTTTGATAAGGAATAACACAGGGATTCCTTAACTCCTACTGACCTGAGGAGGGGTGAATGGAAAGGGAAGGATAGTCCATTAAAGCAGCTGGACAAAAACTGCAGGTAAAGAATATGACTTCCAATTCTTTTCTTCGTTCGAGAAAAAACTTTGCAAAAATGTTACTATAAAGGTATAATGGACGTGATTTACTGTTCCAAAGTTTTGTCCAAGTTCCAAAAAAGACAAAAATCCCGACCTGACCCCCTTCGTCTTTGCCACCAGCCTTACGTTGTCCCGGGCTGGTGGGTCAAAGGGACAGAAGGGGGGTAAGAGCTGTCCTTTAGCTTTTCGGACATCTCGGGGAGTGATCAGCCTGGTGTGCTGGTGATGGTCTTGGCTGTGTAGTTCTGGAAAAGTGGTTGGAGGAACATGCCCAACGTCCCGAAGACACACACGAACACGAAGATCCACAGGAAGAGGCGGTCGATCACCATGGCGACGTACTTCCAGTCTTCGCTCACCTGTGGAGGAGGGAAAGAAAAACAAATTAAGCCAGCGTCGCAACCTTGTATCCGCCCCCTCGCTGCCTTTGTAGAGGGTTAATGGAGGTGAAGGCTTAATGGGAGGAGAGACTAGCACGGCCACACAGCGCTGATGAGGTCTAATGCCTCAATGCTGATATGAAAATAATCAAATCCACCAAGTATCACAATAGTAATGTTATCCTTTTTTGAGTACTAAGGACACAATTTTAACACAGCTTTATGGATTTATTTTACAGCATATTACCAACTACCTATACTGCAAAAGAAAACAAGTCAGACTTGCATTCATGTTTGATCTTCTGTAAATATAAGTAGTATTTTTCTTATGTTAAATGACAGTGACATGCAGTACTGAGCTGTAAAACACAGAGATATAGCGACTATCTTTTACAGTAAAGGTAAGTACATTTCATAACATTCATTTTATTGTACAGTGAATAATTCTATGCTTATTTGTAACCTAATTTTTGTGGAATAGGAAAGGTAAATGGTGCAGTGGAGCTTTGTTGTGGAGAGGGAAGACAGACTATAAACAGAGACTATTGGAGACTATTCTATTTGTTACATAATTTAGGTACACTTTTAGAGCAGGAGTGTTTTCCTGAGCTTGCTCTCTCTCTCTCTGCAGCTTTCTCCTCACGATGGACTACGCCACTACACTGCGCGCTTCTATAATTACATGTCTCTTTGCTGAATATTCAGAGAGCTGCAATTGCGTCACAGATCTGTCTCCCTTGCTTATGCTCTGCCGGAGCTCCCCGTGTGTTTCAAATGGCAGTGCAAACAGCACCAATGCAACAACAAAAAGACTGTTCAAGACATAGAATAATGCGCTGTAAATAAAGAATCATGCATTGTAAAGTGCTTTGGGTGTCTTAAATGGAGCTATAAATGCAATGAGTAATGTAAAAAAACAACAACATCTGACTGGCTGACAAATCGAAACAACGATCCCTGACAGGTCGACTAGGGATGGGCATTTGATGAAATTTTATTAATCGATCGTCAGAAGAATTAACGATTTATTTTTGATTAATCATTAACGTTTTTATATAATAAGTATCATCATTATTATTACTATTACTAATCTGCATAAATAAACTCAACTTTACAACATATAAACCGGAACTACTATAGAGCCACATAAGCCCATTTGAGATTATAAAGTGTTTAATGCAGCTTTGTGCAAGTCTCACAGAAACTAAACTTAAAACCGCATGGCTCATTTGCATAAACTAAGTGGAGAAAAAAAAAAAAAATGCTCTTGCGCACTGATGCGGTTCAGCTTCTGTCAGACTAAAGGACACAACTCAGTGGAATATGAGTGTTCTTTCTGTGACAGAGAGATGTTGATGCTGAAGGTGAGTCTGTTCTGTGTGTATATCGCATTGGAGATGGTTCATGTTTTTAGAGATCAAACGTGTGCAGGTTTAGTTCAACTCTTTATGTTGCAGTAACCGGGATACTGCATATACATGCACCATGATGAAACTGCAATGTAAATGCACTCATTGAGGGACATAGCGATCTGCATGGAGGTGCCAGAGCCGAAACGTAGGACTGTGAGGCTGCAGCTCCAGTGTTTGCGCAGTCAGATGCAGCCTCGTATCCAAACCTACATGTGGTTTGTCGATTAGAAATGAATGTAATCGACGAAATTCTAAATGATCAATTATTGTATAGTCAACTACTCATGCCTAAGGTCAACTACTTAAAATAATCACGAAACCCGACATAAACTCCACCTTCACACCTTAATACAGCTGAAGTTGATACTCACACTCTGGTCATCGTCCTCACTCTTCATGTGGTTTGCGATGAAGCGGACCCCCTCCACGGCCTCCTCGAAGCCGGGACATGCTTGAGCCAGCAGGGCCTGGGTGAGCGCTGGACCCCCTGCCGCCTGCTTACCCCGTGGCACATTCCCCGCGCCCGCTTCTCGGCCCTCTCTCACTCTGTTCAATCCATCCATGGACCCTCCTGCCCCTCCCAGCTCCCCTCCAAACTGTTTCACTGTGGCCCGGTTCACGTAGCACGTACACGGGTCACTGTCCTCCTTTCCGAAGACTCCTGTGGAAGTGGCGCCTCCGTTCCCACCCGTGTTGGCCATTCCGAGGCCGACCATGAGCCCGCCGACCTCCCCTCCTCGCCCCCCCTCCTTCTGCTCCTGGGCTCTCCGTCTCTGGCGCAGCCGCTGCCGTTCACAGTTGTTCCGAGGCTGGCGCATGAAGAGCAGAGCCGGGAGCTTGTTTAGGAAGACCAGCTTAACCCAGGGGGGCATGGTGTGTGTGGTGGGTGAGCGGTGATGCACGTTTAGCACACAAACACTCGTAACTATGGAGAACGTGACTAGAACCATCGTGAACATCAAGTACTTCCCAACCAACGGGACATCCAGAGAGGTGGGTGGGACTATTTTGGAGATCAGTAAAAGGAACACAGTGAGGGCGAGGAGCACGGAGATACATAAAGTCATTTTTTCGCCACAGTCCGAAGGTAAGTAGAAGACGAGGATCGCCAAGGAAGTGATAAGCACACACGGGATAATCAAGTTGATTGTGTAAAAAAGTGGTTTCCGTCTGATAATAAAGTCATAGGTGATGTCTACGTAGGTGGGATCGGCCGGATTTTCGTTCCTTCGTCCTGGGAGCGCAATAATGTCCCACTCCCCGCTGGGCGTAAAGTCATCCATGCTCGCCACGTCCGCCCGTAACACCAGGTCGATCTCGGTGCGGTCGTACGTCCAGGATCGAAAACGCAGCGTGCAGTTCTGCTGGTCGAACGGGAAGTGTTTGACCTCAATCTTACAGGCGGATTTGTAGATCGCCGGGGGCAACCAGAAAATACTGCCATCATAGGAGACCACAGCATTGGAGTAGAATGAGACTTCGTAAACTCCATCAGCGCTGCAAGAGAAAAGGACATGTGTAAATAATGTGCATATTATATTTCCAAATTATAATGAGAAAATAGTCCCTCAACATGCGACAATTCATGCGATGCAAGGTTAGTTTTATTTCAAACATTATTCTATCAACACAGACCTTTACATCGACAGTCTGGAGTAATAAGTGTTTTGCTTCGGGTGTTTTGTGAAGTGGGTAAGACTGTTTTTAGTGGCAGGATAACTATGGCCATTGACATGCACTAGCCTAGCATCAGCGACCTCTGCAAATACAAGGACTGGATGGAATATTTTATAAAATGTCTCCACAAGTCTCCAACACTCTGGTAAACTAGGAAATGAGGTCCTATGTCCAAAATTCCAGGCTGTCCGTTTAAAATCCATTATAGGGACATTTCATGACTTTTTTTCTTTTGTCTCTGGATATGTTGTTTTACCTGAAATGTTGCACATAAAACTTAGCTTCTCCATAGAAACAAGCAGGTATTCTTTGACAATAAAAACGCCTGTAACAAAATAAATGAAGGTACGTTTATACCATATTGTGGAACATTACAGGCAAAGCAATGACTGACATTTTCAAACTTTCAAAAAGCACCTATCCAAACATATGATCCACAAATGTTGAAACTTATTATTATTTGTTAGGGACTGGATCTGCAGTCTGTGTGCCAGTTTTGTTTCATGTGGATCGGACCAATAATTATAAATATTATTAACCATAAACTGAGTCAAGAAATCTGCAATCTAACAGTTAAACAGTAAATTTTACCCGAGAATATGAACATTTCCTCCGGCTTTTTATGTTAAAGTGTTACAATGCCACATGAGCCTACCCTAACCTAGCCATGTTCAATCATGCAGACTTTTTGCAGTGCACTGTCAAACATTTGTAAACTACACCAGATTTAGTCCACCAGTTCACTGTCTGTTTGCCCAGAGCTTCATAAATATGGAGCATAACTCGTCTTATTATACAACAAGGCTCCAGGACACACAAACACACTGTGCCGTTAAAAGGATGCTGCTCCCCAGAGAAAGCACATATGTCTCAGGCCCATATAAAACACTGCCTCTGGGCCAGGGCGAATGCAGCGAGGCAATGTGCGCTTGGCCAGCCAAAAGACTTTATCATTTGGAATAACGGAGAAAATCTGTTGCTTTAAGAGGCTAAGGGTATGTGTGGGCATGCAGAAATCTGGCATATGTATTACAACTGAAGACAGACCGATCTGGGGTTTTTTCGTTGCCAGTGTCATATTATGTCATGTCATGTTGTTTATAATCCAGAGCAACCAAGAGACGACACACACTACTGATATCTTGAGGCTGATGAGTAGGGCCAATTATTTCCCCCAAATTATATTAATTAGAGTTTAGTACATCCACTCACCCACACACTCATCCACAAACCAGTTTTACTACAACTCTATTAGACAGCATTGCAGTCACTTTTCCCTCTTCATAACTCAGTGCTCACATAACACATAATGCATATTCTTTAAGCAGCATGTTGGTTCACACAAAATATCAGCTTCTGGTGAATATCCCACCCTTAACTGGGATAAACACTCTACCCCCTCTCCTGTATGCCAGCATGAAATATATTTTTGTAATGATAATAAAAACAAAATTCAATGACATTCAGAGACAAACATTGACAAACAGCATCAAAATGAGTGCCCTCGGTCTGTTAATCAAATGGAAGAAATACTGTGCTGTTGAATAATAAATATTTTAAGCTGAAGGTTTGTACAGAGCTACATTCATGCCTTACTCCCTACAACAGGGGTCGGCCGTATAACAAAATCGCATGACCTTGACAACGCAGATTATATTCTTTGAAAACCGACGCACTTTCTTTACATATCAGACAAATTGCACGGTCGTCCACTGTTCGACAGAGAATCCAGAGTTTTCGTACTTTAACGCGAGTCATTTTGCTGTCCTTAACTGCACTACAGAACTGTGGGTTCGTTGACTGTCACTGTTTGATCTCGAGCTTGTCAGGTGACGAAAATTTGATGGCATCATCTGTGCACTGTTTTTCTTATAACCTCTTATATAATGCTGATAGTTTTATTACTTATTTCTATTCTATTAAATTTTTACTTGTACATATACGTTTATATAATTATGCCTTATTTGACATCTGTCACTTGCTATTGTTGCTACTTATTTAGAATGTATTATTACCATTTATATTTTTTCTCTCTGTTATTATAATATATTGTGATATGCAAGCTACTGTGTCCAAGTAATTTCCCTTGTGGATCGATGAAGTTTGTCTGAGTCTGTTCATTCTGAGACATTTATACAAACAAAGCAACACCTCTCAAACAAGGTCAGTTTGTATAGCTGAAATTATTGAAAAGTAATGAGGACATCAATGCTTTAAAGGTCCTGTGTTACACAAAATAGACTCTTGTGAGCTATAAGGCATGTTAGAACCTCATAAAAACAATACCTGGAGTTGTGTTTTGAGGGTCTATTCACGTCACAAACCAGGAAGACGTTTGGAAACACGCGATGACAACTTCCGGTGTAGTTCCCGACATTAGGCTCGCCGACTAACTGTGATAAAACCCATTGACGTAAATGTGATCAGTGGTAAAATGAAGACTGCATAAGTGTGTGCTGTTTGGAATCATCTTGGATTTGGCATCGTCATCTCTTCTAATCACATGTACCCAGTGCGCTCGGAGTTGTGTGTCAGTGGGGAAATGATGAAAACTGAGGTATGGTTGTAACTGTTGATGAGTCGATCATAACGGAACGCTACAATGACATGGAGATGAAGAAAACTGGGCCATTTTTTTTTCCTAGATTTTGTCAGACTTACAACCACAAAGAGAGCCTGCTCATCGCATGTTTCCAAATGTCTTCCTGGTTTGTGACGCAAGCGTGAATAGAGCCCATCCATTTACACATGTTATGTAATCCTGCATTATTAGTCTATCTACAACTCCAAACCTCAAAACGATCTGTTCCACCTTATGCTGTCATGAAGTGGTAGCAATTCCAGGGCTGAAATTGACCAAATGATTCTAGTGGAGGTGTATGGAGTTTAAAAACACGCCTAAATATGCAGGGTTTGTGTGTTAAATGTGTGAATAAAACAAAACACAACTCCAGTTATGTTTGTGATGAGGAAACAACATTATATCATAGAGCAGAAAACAAAGAAAAGTGTAATCTCGTCCTCTTAGCAGTTTTATTTTGAGTTCTCTGCCTGGTTTGTGCTGGCGTGGATAACTGGGCCTCGACACAGGGGACACAGTGACCTGGCTATGGCCCTAAAAGGATCATTTAATCCTGGGTGAGAGGGTCAGAGATCAGAGCTGCTCCGGAGCAGGAAGAGAAAGAGGAGAAGGCCAGACAGATCACTGCTCTCTGATTTACATAAACCAGCCTGACACACAGTTTCCATTCTCACATCTCACCAAGCACACATTTTTAGGTTATTTCAACTCTAAATTAGTCTACAGAGAAGAATCAAGAGTATTTTTAGTACATAATTGTTTTTTGTGCTTTTGTACAGTTTATTTGAGCCTTCACACTTACTCACAAAATAAAAAGCTGCGCCGTATTGTTAAAAGAAATACTTAACTTCTCCCATTCATTGTACAAGCAGGAAAAGTCTGTTGAGCATTTCAGATTGTATTTCCTAAAATGGGAGTTAACACTGAGCTGAGGACTGACATTTTATTTTTAAATCCTGTAAAAAATCTGTATTTAATGTCTTTTATATAAATAATACATAATACAAAATGTTTTTCTGTTTCAAATTAAGTGTCAATAATGGAAAAAATGGATAACAGCTGGTTCCTGTTTCAGCAGACTTTTTTACCTCATATGGACAGAACCAGGACTAAAACAGGACTACACCAGGACTAAACCAGGACTGAGTGTCGGGACGGGCCCAGAGATGAGCTCATGTAGTTGTGTGATCGGGACTGAGACCAGGACCACACCGGGACCGTACTGGGACTGAGATCGGGACCAAATCAGGACTGAGCCCAGGACCAGACTGAGACCAGGACCAGGACTGAGACCAGAACAGACCGAGACCAGACTGAGACTGAGACTGAGACCAGGACTGAGACCAGAACCAGACCAGGACTGAGACTGAGACCATGACTGATGGTTTAGTCCTGGTTTAGTACTGGTTTAGTCCTGGTTTAGTACTGGTTCAGCCCTAGTTCAGTCCTGGTTCAGTCCTGGTTTAGACCAGGTTTAGACCTGGTTTAGTCCTGGTGTGGTCCTGTTTTAGTCTTGGGATCAGTCCTGGTTCAGTTCTCTAAATTAGTGTAGAGAAAATGATCAAGAGTATTTTTAGTCCATAATAGATTTTTGTGTTTTTGTGTGGTTTATTTGAGCCTTCACACTTACTCACAAAATAAAAAGCTGCACTGTATTGTTAAACCAAATACTTAGCTTCTCTTATTCATTGTATTTAATGTCTTTTATATAAATAATAGGCAATACTAAATGTTCTTCTGCTTCAAATTAAGTGTTATCTATTTTACAGTTTAAATGAGTGATTCCTGATTATCTCTTATATTAAGCAACATAAATTAAAAGTGTGTTTTGTTTGAATTAAATTAAAAACCTTTTAAATTGTAAATGTTTATGCTTATTTAAATTCAAATCTGGATTATGCTTAAACCCATCCAGTAAACAGTTCACATTTTGGCACAGTACAGTACACGTTTAGGATTCAGGTGCATTCCAGACAGGAGCCCTGCGAGCGGAGCACAGGTGGGACTCACTTGTTGTACAGAACCACGTCCGGGAGCCAGATGTGTTTGGAGGGAAGTCGGACCTTCAGCATCCCGTCAAACTCCTCTGGAACCCAGGTCAGCCGATAGTCCTGCCACTCCTGTCAAAGAGGAAAAAGTGGCTCAGTTCTTTTCACTGTCACAAGTAACAATGAAATTACATTAGAGCATCAATCGATCAGTGTGACTATGATGGTAGTGATTTTTCTCACTACATCAAACAAAGGAACTATAAGTGATATGAAGATCATGTAGGTGAAAGAGGTCTTTGTTTAATGTCTCTGGGTAAGTAAAACGGACATGTGTAAAGTAACAAAATCAGGACTAAAGTCAACAGACACCTGAGTATTAAAATCCGTGTATCATTTGTTTTCAAAATAAAACCAAAAAAAAAAAAAAAAAACCACAACTATTTTCTATATATTATTCTTAGTCTCCTGCGATGCCGGACTGAACCAGGACTAAAACAGGACTACACCAGGACTAAACCAGGACTGAGTGTTGGGATGGGCCTGGAGGTGTGCCCGTGTAGACCGTGGGTGATCAGGACTGAAACCAGGACCAGACCGGGACCAGACTGGGACTGAGACTGGGACCAGACCAAGACCAGGACCAAGACTGAGACTGGGACCAGACCGGGACTGAAACCAGGACCAGAACGGGACTGAGACTGGAACTGAGACAAGGACTGACCGGTTTAGTCCTGGTTTAGTCATGGTTGAGTTATGGTTTAGACCTGGTTTAGTCCTAGTTCAATCCCAGTTCAGTACAGGTTTAGTCCTGGTCTGATTCCAATCTCAGTCCCGGTCTCAGTCCTGGTCCTGGTCCCGGTCTGGTCCTGGTCTCAGTCCTGATTATCCAGTGGTCTACGGGGGCTCACCTCCGGGCCCGTCCGGACACTCAGCCCTTGTTTAGTCCTGGTTCAGTCCTGGTTCAGTCCTCATGTGGAGCAAAAGTCCAGCATCGCAGTTTAAGTCACGGAAATGGGAAACGGCCTTTATCTGTTTTTTCCATTATTAATTTAAACACAAAATCATAAAATAAAAGAACAAATCGTTATCCGTTTTTTTCATTTTGGTTTTGGAGACAAATAATGAAGAAAATAATTGTTTTTTTCGTTTTCTTATTTATTTTATTTTTATTTTTTTAAACGAATAAACGAATGATACACAGATTTATTTGCCCCAGTTTATCAGCCCTACAGATTTCCATTGGTTATAGGGACTACAGCTGCAACAGAAAACAAGTAATTGACAGCCTTGTAAAGTCAGCAAATTCTAGTTAGTCTAAAAATACTTTCTTTTGGTAATGATTGATTAATATTACTTTTTGACATAACTGTAAAAAAATTAAAAATAATAATAAATCACTCAACAGAAAAGACATTCAACTGTGGTGTTAGTTATTTTGTTTTATTTATTTTTTTCCTGTGTACGCTCAGCAATGAATAACCTATTGGCAATCTGTATCGTAACGGATATCATTGCCAATATTGAAAAATTCACTGGATCAGATATTGGCTTCCAAATATCAGTAATTAAATTGATGTAATAAGAACATTAACTGGTCGTAGTTGGCCCAGAAAGCCTCATAATGTTTGAACTTGTATGTATACGAGTTGTTCTGTAGTTACTTCAGAGATAAATAACAGCTACATTTGGATCAGTTTTGTCCTTTTTTGTTTTTGTTAAAAGGAAATAAAGGCTGTTTTAAGTCTCTGGATTGGTATGGGTTCATATCAGGCATCAAAATTTGCATTAAATCAGAAAAATCGTGGTGCATCCCTAAATTTTCCAAAGCATCTTCACGTCTGTTCTACTTCCGTCAAAATACAGACTCTATAGAATAGTTTGGCGTCGCATGAGCACAGCATATTTTTGATCTGTGCTTTTAAAAAAAAAATCCATTCTCTCTTTTAAGCTGAACAAAGACACCCGAGGACTCATCTGCACCCTGACCCCGAATGTGTTTCTAAATATATGCACCAATCACACTGATGAAATCTACTACAGAGTCACCATCCTAGTGTTTCTTACCCAGATACAGTCTTTGGACGACCTTTACAGACACTCCGATTATCATTAATACTACAGACAAGCCTGAATTTGCATGTTGTGTGGGGAGGTTATTACATTGACAATTGCACTATATAAACTCTCATGAGGAGTAGATGGTGCAGAACCTGGCCACCATCTGCTCCTCATGTCTCTGCACACGCGCCTCCAACATTCTGCAGGACCTCACGCAAATTACAACTTCTATCATCGTAACATCACCCTAAATTTAAATGAACCCATATTCTAACTTTAAAGGGACTATATTATGCCATTTTCTGATCTCTGTTATAATCTCTGTTCCTCATTGAAAATGGACCAGAAGTTGTGTTTTGTTTTGTTTTATTCATACATGTTTAACACCCTAACCCTGCATATATAGGCCAACTCAGTGGTCTCAGGATCAACCTTTTTCCTCCTGTGAGCTACTTTTTGTAAACGAAAATGCTAGAGAGCTACAAATTTTAGCGGTCACTAGAAATTTAGTCAATATAAGAGCCATGGCAAGTCGAAGATGAGGTGCATTTAGATGTCTATAAAACACAACCTATTGTCCAGTAATCAGTGCACAAAATTGGGCATCAAAATGACACATTTACAATAGGCTACTTGGAAGGGGGTGAAGAGCAGCTTGTAGCTCTCGAGTTACAGGTTCGAGACCCCTGGGCTAGCTCTTCTCTAAAACAGAAAACACTCTGTTTCACCTTGTGATGTCATGTGGTATTACAGGAAGTGTCCCACTATGTTTTAAAAATCTATACACTGTTTCACTAGAATCATTTGAATGATTTCAGCCCTGGAATTCCCATCTCTACTGAACTAAAGGTAAAAGGAGCAGTTAACTTAAAACCCATCACTTCATGACATCATAAGGTGGAATGGAGCATTTTGAGCTTTGGAGATGCAGACAGACTAATAAAAAAAGAGTTACTAAAACATGTGAATAAAACAAAACACAACTCCGGGTATGTTTTTAATGAGGTTACAGCATTATAACAAGGTCAAAAGAGTCAATTTTATGCATTTTTGGACCTGTTTTTCATCTAGCAAAAGATATAAAATATGCAGTGACTGTTTTTAGATAATGTCAAATTTGGCCTTTTATTGCCTTTTTGCGTAGCATTTGAACTAAGGTTGTGATATTTCAAATAATACTTTCTGTCAGTTTCGCTCACCCTTAAGTTTATCTAATATTGAAGAATTAACATAGATACCCACAACGCAAATGCCCCCCCTAAGGCTGAGTGCACAGATTTAATTTCCCACAATGCAGTGAATACTTGACCACTCCTCTTTCTCTTTCTATCTTTTTCTTCCTTTCTCCTTCTCTCCCTCTCTCCAGCACCACACTATAGGGGCGTTATCTTTATGCTAGCCCCAGTGCCGTAACCATGATGCATTGTACCTATTATAGTTAGTGTCCTTGGATCCCCCTTCGCGCACACATCCATATAGCACACGTCTATAGTCCACTGATCGGCTCTCTGTGCTGGGTTACATGTCATAAATTCAACCGAGCTCAGGTGCAAAACTGTGTGAACGTTCAATAATATACATCAACTATAAACAACCTTATCATAAATATGGTCTCCACGTTACAGCACCTGATGTCACACTGTGAGACCTTGGCCACGATTTATGTCCAAAGCAAATGCACAGCACACCTCTGATTCAGTCTAACGCGAAATGTACACAGAAAAAGCTAAAAATATATAAAGGTGTTATTATACGGTTGGTTTTAATTAGGCTTTGATGGTAGTAGTTTGTTCTAGGGCCCAGCTGTGTGTTTACTGCAGCATTCATGTAGAACAGGGTCGGGGTTTGGTCACTGGCACATAACGGAGAACTGCAAGGTGAGCTCATTGTACTCTCGCTGTATTACTGTAAATGAGATTACAGTGCATCAGAAATGTACAATACTATAAATAGAATAAAGAGGTATTAGTACTTGAAGTAGTTCATTTTTTAAAATACTAAGAACAGAATACAGAATTTCTTGAATGTTTATGATATAATATAATACTAGTGTCGTAGTGCTCAAGACCGATCTTGATCTCGAGACCTTTTTTTTACGGTCTTGGTCTCGTCTCGGACTCGACCACGTTTGGACTTGGTCTTGTTTCGGTATTGAAGGCACTTGGACTTGGACTCGAGGTCTGACATTGTTGAGTGCGATCATATTTCATTACGGCCACTGCTGTCGGCAATTAACTTCTTACCGCGACGTGGTTGAAGTTTGCCGAATAAAAGTGCACAAATGTGTCTGTATTTGTCTCGATGTGCGTTTGGTAAATGTGCAGAGGCTGGTAAATCCCACTGCAAAACCAGTAAAACCAGTAACAGAATGTAACTCTAGTTACAAATTTGGAAAAATCAGGTTTAAAAATCCCACCCACTTTCTTCACAGTTTTCTGTAAAGTGCCACTGGAAGTTATCTTGAAGAATGGGTTCTCAAACTGTGAGTGAGGATCCAATAAAGGGGTGCAGAGTGTTTAAGTCCAGTACAATTTGTTTGGCTTATTTTAAACGTAAAAAAAACATTAGTCAGATCAAATGGAGATAGATTTATAAAAACACTGCTATATATGTGCCAAAATAACTGTAAAATACAAATAAATGTAGAAAATGACAAAGATGGTCTTGATTTGGTCTCATTGGGCAATGGTCTTGGTCTTGTCTCGGTCTCGACCTTTAAAAATCTTGGTCTTGTCTTGGTCTTGACCCTCAGAAATCTTGGTCTTGTCCTGGTCTCAGGTAGCTTGATTCATCAGCTGGTTTCACTTTGTGGAAACTGTCTGACCTCGCAGTGTTAGAATTCGTTCACATGACGGTAGGTGGGTACTTTTTATATTTAACCCATCGCTGCTATTTGGTTGTGACATATGTAATGCACCAGTAACGGGGCTAACTGGTATATTAAGGTTTTCCCAAATCCCGTAGGAAGAAGGGCAATAACGTCTTCACCAAACATTCTCTTTGTTTCAACTTTAAATCCCCCAACACAGAATGTCTGGCTCTTCGCTGATTGGCTGGTGCCCGGACTCACACTTCTGGGGTTCTCACAAACCATCTAGTGTATTCCGATTCCTGACCTAGTCGCTGGAAGAGAAATGAATTTGAGCGGAAGCACTAGGTGGGACCCACCTGGCTAGATCTCAGGACCCTGTGGTCTCAGACAGGTCTTGGTCTTGATTGGTGCAGTCTTGACTACAGTACTATATAAAACTGAATGAGGGCGCAAAATCAGTGTCTGGCTATTTAAAGATGCTTTTAACTTTGCTTAAAATGTTAAACTCTCCATGGAGACAAGCAGGTGATGCTATCTAGACCAACTTGCAGGTCAGATCTGTGGACAGGCAAGCAGGCAGGTCAGCTCAAAGTAAGAAAGCATGTTTGTATGCCCTGAAACTTTCTTAAAAATAATGTTACAAAAAAGAATGTATGTTTATCAGAGGATTGGCACACCTGCCGTTGAATGCATGATAGATAGAACAATTTAAAGCCGTATTGAGCAACATTTCCCGGCAAGCAGGTGCTATAACCCCCACTAGAAAAGTTATATAGTGCACTGTTAAATTGTCAGACACTCACATTGCACTCTCATACAACTGCACTATATAAACTCTCTGGTATATTGACTTTTTATTGTCCCACAGTTTTCATTTCGCTGTTAGTTAATACTTAATATTTGCTTGGAAGTCTGTGGTGGCTGTCAAACTGAGAACAAATAGCAGTTTTATCATTATTTCCAGTGCAGTCACACACATGCACATGCTCCCATACTGTCAGTGTTATGATAAAGCACTATATAAAACTCCAGAGCCCCACTTGTCACACTGCCACTGCCTCTCTTGTGCATGTATCGCCTGACGCTTCCTTCTCTAAAGTCATGTTCATTTTCACAGCAGCCTCTCCCCATCACAGGCAGCAGGATTAGACTGAGCCAAATATAAAAGACGCATGAGTCCATTTGAGGAGTGCAGATTTACACAGGGGGTAAGGTGGCTCAGATTTAGGATGTTTGATGCAGTGGAGCGTGGAAAGCCTCTTACCTGCGTGAGCCAGACATTGGTGGTCATCACCTGCTCGCGCTCATGCTGAAAAAGAAGAAACATTTTAGGTTAGAAACAAGGATTAAATTGTTTTTATTTTTATACCTTAACAACTGATAGATAGAGGGATAATCTTTTACGCCAGCTGAACTATGAACTGTTGTGTGTTTATAAAATGTGCTAGAAGGTGGATTTGGATTTGAATGAAAATTTTTTATCTATCAGTATTAGCAGAGATAAACAGGGCTATTTCTCTAGTAAATGACCTTTATTAGACTTGTTCAGTTTTTCCCACCTGAGATGGCCACATCGGTGTATCCTTGAGGGCATACTGTGATTTGCATATTGATTTGTCATCTGTTTTTCTGTGTTGCTCAATACAAGAACAGCAAGAACAAATGTCTTCCTTTACAGCATATGGGATCAGTTTAAAAAGGACATTACACTGATTTGTGCCTACCTTTAGCAATAAGTTAAGTACTATAAAATATAACGTATGTGTGTATAATGCAAACGCAGTATTGTCAAAATGAAATCATAAAATAAACAACAACAAATTGAGAGGTGCGTGCAGTATGATTAAAAATACAAAATAATCAGACTATTTATCACATTAAGAGATTTTCTAAAACGTTATATTTGTTGTCAGTCCAAAATGCCACTCTTTAATAAAAAGTTACAACCACATTTCTGAAGATTCTCCATGGAGATAAATACATCATATGCTACATTGTGGAAGATTATAGTCAAAGTCAAAGAAGGCCAAATAGAAGTCAGTTTTGTGGAGACGAAAGCCCACTCACAGTAAGGATGCATGTTTTTCAGCACAAAAAATAAATCAAGATGAACAAGATGTTTTTAATTTAGTCAACTTGTTTGGTTAATAAGTTACATACTGTGGCTTTTGAATTATAATGTGTGGGTCTATTATAAAATGTTACTATCCACATTGGGAAATATCAGTTATCGGTCACAACAGAAAGACACACTGTATTAAGAAACATAATGGCTGAAAAACTCCATATAGCCATCTCCCTTCTCCCTGGTGCTCTTACCACACTGATGAGCTGGGCCAAGGACACCATGAGCTGCACAGTGACCAGCTCTGACCCGTTTGTGGCAGGACGGATGAGTTTGTTGTAGTGGGCGGGGTTAAGGAGGTGCTCCACTAACCGCTCCTCTGTGTCTGCCCCGAGGCCCCCTGCAACCAGAAAAACATCATCATTAGAGACAAATCCACAAGAGCTTATGTTCACATGACCAGACTCATGAACCACATTCTTATGAGTACGCTGCGCAATAAATCAAATTTGAAAAGAGATCGACATCATTTCTAATTGTCAATGATATGCACAATTCTCTGTCAGTAAAATATCGTGCTTTGAAGCAGGGTCCAGCTTTGGGAAGATTATTGTGTTAAATGGCAATGATTAATAATAATGGCTTACACTTTAATGCGCTTAACAGGTTTGTCAAAGCCTCTCAAAGCTCTACGCTCTGGTCATTATTCATTCACACCACACTCATGGTGGTAAGCTGCTATTGTAGCCCCATACTAACATAGAACTATAATAAAATCTGGAAGATGAATGAAAGATGGCGCCATATTGTTTTCAGTGGCCTGTGCTCAATGGCGCACGGGTCCAAAAAAATTTTCACTTCCGAATTTATTTCCTCAATACGGGCGAGCGCCTCCCAACTGTGTGACATCTGTAACGTGCACGGTGTGGAGCATTTGGACCAATCAGCGCTTTGAGGATAAAAAAAATAAAATAAATCATGTTGTGAACATAGAAAAGAATTCCTACAAAATTCGACTTTTGTGAAAGTTGTCGGTGCCCTGTCAGCCAAACACTGGCAGTTTAAATTCTCAAAAAATACATTGCACTCTATGGGAAAATTCTTTCTGGGCCCAAGCTCCTGCGGTCTGCAATACGGCCACTAGTCGGTCTCGAGCTGGGACCGAGGGGGGAGTGCCTTTTCCAGTTTTTATTACAGATCCATACATACTAACAGAAGCAAGGCTCCAAATCTGCACCATTTGGTCTATCCTACCACCACCAATCAATCACGCACACACCACATTTAATACTACCATGTCCTTGCCTAAGGACACAATGACTGAACTCCAACCATTGAGCCACTGTGGCCCCGATTAGCTTTACTGTTAATGCTCGAATTATCGACAAAACGCTCAATACATGAAAGCTGGAACAATATATTTTGGGGCTCAATATTTATCATATGTTCAATTTCTTTGGAAAAATAGAAAGGTGTGACTCAGTAATTTCTGTGGCTAATTATTAGTTCATTCTGTTATTTGTTGCAGCTCATGGCTTGGTATGACAGTGTCTTTTTAAAAATGGTTTACTGAGATTATTTTTGCATTATTGTTCTTGGTCCAGTTGGATAAGGTAGTTTCAATATTATCGTTTATGGCAATATTCTTCTGTAGCAATATATCGTACTTCAAAATTTGTTATGGAGACAGGCCTGGTTACCACTGCTATCCTTATGGCTTTGGTGTAACATCTCTATAGCTTTGAGTTATTTTTATTGTATTTCTCTCTCTCCTGTCTTCCACCCCCTTTCTGCCATTTCTCGTTCTAAATCTGTTGTTCTGTCACAATAACACACACATCTGCAGAGGGAGGCTTACACTGAGGGGACATACAGAGCTCCTCCTTTCGCTTAGCACCAGAGTATGAAGCATCTGCTGTTTTCCAGTGGCATATTTTCTGCTCTCACGCCTTTAGCTGAGCATAAACAGGGGCTGCTAGCTGCTAACCTGGTGCTAATGTGTTGTCATTGCTAAAGTGTGAATAACACAAAAGAAGTGTGTGCTCTTAATCATGCACTTGTGAAGATCCGAGGCTCTTAAGATCTTGGCTTTGGCAGAGAGAGTCGTTTTTGTAACATTTTTAAGGTACTAATACACATAAGTCCAATTCAGTTACATTTTGGGTTGTCGAAAATACAATATTAATCGACTCTAAAACTAGTATCGAATCTAGATACTTATTTGAGCAGGTATGGATATTAAAAAGTCACATTCACAGGACAGAAATGAACCTATGAACTATACTATGACTATTCTACTGCCTAAATAAAGAGACATTTTTATTATCATTGTGGTATCGGTATCGGAATCGGTATCACATCAATTTCTTAGTATCAAAATCAAGTTTCAGATTTCAGTATCGTGACATATACAGTAGGTCCAATGCAGGTTAGTTAAGTTTTATAGTTTTCCTTCACCCACAATTGTTGAACACGATAATGAAATTAGCATGAAAATCAAATGTTAAATCTGCAGAGTTTTATCACATGCTTGTCTCCATGGAGATGTTATTTTGTTTCTAGGAATGTTTCACAGTACAACTTTTCAACGTATCTGTCATTTGTACATCTGCGTGTTCTGTTATTGCAAATAAGTAAATAAATAAATAATAAAAAATGAAACATGAATTCTTATAGTAAGTGTCTCGCCTGTTCACAGATCTGACCTGTTATCTGGTCTGGTCACATCACCTGCTTAAATCCATGGTAAATATAAGGAATTTCTTAATTGATATTATTACATGTTGCACAGTTCACTTTTAAATAAATAAGTACACCAACAAATAAACAAATATTGTAACATGTGTATATGGTAAAGTAATATCACAATTCTTCAGACAACACAGATGACCAGTGACCTTTTAATAACACAATAAAACAGGCCACACTCTGGTACTTTCCTGAGTTGTACCCCTCTGTGTGTCCCTCTCTATCCCCTCTTCTCCTCTTGTGGCCGGGAGCTTTGGCTGTGCTCAGTGAACAGAAATAATGGTCCATGTCTCCACTGGATCGATAAAGACACTGCAGGCTCCTCTACCTCTTACTCAAACAACACGCCATTCCCAAATAGCTTTCCTCTTCCTCTTCCTCCTCCTCTCCCATCTCTCTGGGCTCTTTTCCCCTGTCATTCTTCCAACATACAATCCAGTGTTTCCCATTGAGACTATGGTGTTCCCAATCTAACGAACATTAATTATAAAACTATTACATATAGGCAATAAGTGGCATTTAGAATAAAATGTATTTGCGTTAAACAGTATGTTCCAGATTCATCTGATTTCATGCATTCACTCACACTCTCATATTATGGGTGAAGTGTCTTGCCTAAGGACACATCATTAGTTTTTGACCCTGGCACCCCACTGTGACACCCGATATTCCCAGTGGTCTCCCATCCAAGTACTAACCAGGCCCAACCCGGCTTATCTTCTGAGGTCCGACAAGATCAAGCTTTGACGAGGATATACTTAAACACCAGAAATTGTATGAAAGAAAATAATTACGATTAAAATTATTTGTGCCTCTATCTACGGGATCTATGGGAAACACTGGCCCAATCTCCATCATCGTCCAGCCACTACCCATAATTCCTAGCTTCATTGTTGCTCTCTTGTAGCTGTCCTGTTATCTCCATCTTGTGCACGCTGAAAGCCACTCTCCTTTTATTGGCCTGTCCCTCACTAATCCGCCGTCATCAATAGCCCTGCTGTCAGCACGTGTGTACCTCGGCCCTGCTTTATGGTCTATTTATTGGGGCGCGTGAGTGAAATAAGCGTCACTGTCTGAGGCCGGAGCCATATGAGTAATGTATATTATTCCCACAAGCTCCAGGCAATAACACATGCCGATGAGACTGGGCTAATACAGCTGGTTTAAACATGATGAAGCATAAAATCTTCACATTTTCAGACCGCACTGCCCATAATGTTAACACCAATTACATAAACTGCAGACTAAATGACAACCTGGAGGTCAGCCTAAAAACAGACAGAATTTACAACCACATAATACATTTTGATGTGTGATACTGCAGAAAATATAGACGATAAATGATAATATTGAAACCACTTACATAATACATTTGAAGCAGGTTTATCAAAAATAAAACAACAAATAGAAGATTGACTAACTTAAAGCTACTATCCATGCTTATTTGGTTTATTTTCCACTAGATGGCAGCCTAATTCATCAGCCAGTTTCACTTCGTGGAAACCGTCTGACCTCACAACATTAGGATTTGTTCGCTCGATGGTAGGCGGGTACGTTTTTTATTTAACCAATCGCTGCTATTTGGTTGTGATGTATGTAATGCATCAAATCCTGTAGGAAGAAGGGCAATAATGGCTTTCGCTTTGATTAAATTCACCAAACATTCCCTTTGTTCCGGCTTTAAATCCTCGATCTTGGGAATCATTGCCAACACAGAATGTATGGCTTCGTCTACATCCATCTTGACCGCTTTGTTTACTGTTGTGCTGTACCACAAAAGGGTCCCAGACAGACGCTTGAGTTTGACGTCATGGCTTCACTTCACTGATTGGCCAGTGCACGGTCTACAACTTTCGGGGTTCTTGCAAACCTTCTAGTGTATTCCAATTCCTGACCTAGTCGCTCAAGAGAAATTAAATCGAGCGGAGGCACTAGGTGGCCCCCTCTCCTCTCACCTGTGCTCTCTGGTCTTCTCCTGTCAGGTCAAAATTAGCACACTATCAGGCAGAAGTAATGTGGATAGCATCTAGTGGTAAAGTGTGAGAACACAACAGGACTGAGTAGGCCAATCTAATTACTGCTGGTAGCATTAAGTTAGTATGTAAAATGAGTCACAGAAGTTTTATTTATTCAACTCTCCACATCTCAAATCTTATCATGACACCGAATAAAATAACAAAAAGTCCCTCACTAAGAAAAAGTACCCTTGATAATACTGACCCACAGGAAGTACTGCTCTATCTATCACATATTAAACAAGATACACTCATCTAGTATTTACTGATAGGCCTATAACCACTCTTCTTTATCTGCATTAAATATGTTTAAGCAAATCATTCAAGTAAAGCACCACCAGTAAGTGTATAAGCAGGTGTAGTTTAGTGTTGAAAGACAAGCAGGTGTAATTGAGATCTTTAGTTCGAGGCTACACTGAGTCACTCGTTGAAGTAAAAGATAAATGAACCACTTCAGACGCTGTTAAGAGTTTGTAAGTACCAACTGATAATTACGAATTCTTTCTTTTTACTTACATGTATTGAAAATCTATAGATTTTGAGTGGGCAAATTGTATAAGTCAGTGTCCTTTAACTCTTTATCTCCTTTACCACACTCACCAGTTTTATTCTGGTCCACCCAATCAAACCTACTAAA